TTCGCACTCGCAAATTTTTCTTAATTGCACACACACCGAATGTGCGCTACTTTGACCGCTGAGCTTTTCGCAAAGTGTGCACTTAACACATCTCGGCGCGGTTCATCTGCAAGGGAAATTAAAATGCAATTTCTGTCCAGAGTAAAGCGACTGTGAAAGGTATATGCGAAAAAGGTGAGATAAAAAGTCAGCCGAGATGGAATTAAAAACAGATTAAACACGGATACGATTTAATTCAATTTATTCCATTTCACATTGAATAGGGATAATTCCCATATTCTATGAATCTCATCTCTGTGCGTTTACTTAATTGGCTAATACAAATGTAAATTCGCGCAATGTGAAAAAAAAATCTCCACCGTGAAAAGCGAAAGGGAGGTGAAATTAATGGGAGGTAAAATGTAATTTACACTGGGAAAAAGTGAAGCAATATCCTGTCATCAAATTGAAATTCTTCTCCAATTCCACACACACACAATGTGGGCACCGGAGAGCCTTTGGCATTGCATAGGAGTGAAGGACGCTTAGCCAGAGTGTACTTTTAATTAAACTTCCACCCCTTGCCGAAGCATCCAATGGGGAAAAAGCATTAAAAATTTTTCCGTTGCTTTTATTTAATTACACATAATGCATAAGAGAGGCGAATTGCACACACATAAACTTGCCCATTCTGATGCGTGCAACGATAATTACTTCAATTATAAATTACACTATTGCAAGCTTCTAAATTAAACTTCGCCTCTCTTCAGGCCTGGACAGACGCCAATGCTTGTGAATTGTGGACTGTAAATTGCACGTGAGTGTATGGCAGTCGATACCGGGAGCACCGCGAAAAAACAATAAAATTAGACGCGGATAATTTAATATCAATTGAGAGATAAGCATTAAATATCGCGATTTAGATGTGGACTTTTATAATAGAACATTTTCTTTTGCACCTCTTCGGCGGGCATTTCACCAGAGCCATTGCATTTAATTGGACTTTTGTGACTCAATTCCCCGCAACGCAAGCTTCACTTTTACTAGTTTTCGCTTAAGAGGTTGTTGGCCAGAACTTTTACTGGGTTTTAACAACCATGCTTCGTTATCTCGTGTAAAATGTGTTCTCTAAAAAATTAATAAATATCAATTTGACTTTTTACAGCTATTTAGAGACGATTTCCTTATGCATCGCGATGGGAATGATCAAGGCAGAATTGAGCAGTTCCGAACGCAATTTTGCCTTGAATTAAAGGCCCTGTCGCGAAAACACAGCGAAATTCCATATGGCTTGTCGGCTTCATCCACATGTTAGCTCCTTCAAGAAAGTCTCGTTGAAACCCTACGCGAAAGCGGTTGCTGTTGGGCAGGATGATTTTATGCCTTTTGGCGCCGATAAGGATCTGAGCTTCTTCAGTTTCATACATTAAAAACCAATCAAATTAATGTAAACACAGATTTAAATAGTTCTACGATCATTTTGTGAAAACATAGTGAGATTAATTATTCTGGTTGTTGAAGCTGTTCTTAAGATCAAAGTGTATTCAAAGATCTCCGTTTGAACGAGTGACACAATTCGAGAGTAAAAGATTAATCCACTATTCCGCAAAGTTCAATCTTTATTCAAAATTCTTAATAAATTTTAACGTTTTGCGTCAGAAATCAAATGTTTTTGGTTGGAACCATTATTGTAAATCAGCAAATCTTAAGGCTTTCTTCAATTTCTCTCCTCCTCTCCATCGCTAAACCACTTAAAACAGTTAAATCTGCCTAATCCAATTGAGTGCTGGCGAAGTTAAGGCCACAATCAAAAATCTAATGACTCAGTCCAATTAATAAATTCTGTGCTAATTGAATTTATCCCCACAATGTGATGTGTTTTTCCGCGGAAAGTGTCTCGCTTGTTTGGAAATTAGAAATTGCGGTAAATTCGACATGTGGCCAAGAGCTGTGATTCATGCCTGGGGAGCAAGAAGGGGGGCAGTCCTTGGCTTGGCATTCCTCGAGGTTCCTCATGAGGTGTCTGATAAAGTATTTGTTGTGGCGCCGCTGCTATCGGTAATAATTTTCTATTTAATAAGAAGACTCTCCCAAAGGAGACGACAAAAGTCACATTTGTCGTCTTCGCATCTTCGTGACTCATGCGGGGAAAATTCCGAGGTGGCGTATTATGGAAAGAGGTGACCTCTTGGCTGATGGAGGAAGTTAACGGATCAGGAGTAGGATGTTAGATATTAGACCTATTGAACCGAAAGTATTGACGTTGAGTGTGTTTTTAAAGGCCAAAACCACAATTTTTACGACTGCACTTATTGGAGACTTTTAGGCCTACAAATGGCAATTTTATGTAAATACAGGAGAGAAGATCATTTAATTTAATTTCATCACTCATCGCAAATTGATCTTTTCCCCGAAAATGTGCCTTAATAGTGAATTAATGTGGTTCATGGAATTGGAGTGGAATATCATGGGAGACTTTTTCTTCACTTTTTCTGCCATTCGCCAGGATTAAATACACTCTTTTTCCACCTTCGGCGTCCCCAAATGTCTCTTTTTCACCGCGCGCTGTCCATCGCCCCGGCCGAGGGGCCCCTATAAGACGTGATCTGAAAGCGCGTGCTGCCTGTTTGCAGACGACAAAGCTGAAACATAACATTTGCCTATCAGAAATCCATTAAACTCACTAATGGAACTTATCGCAATTCGGTGACACAGGTTTTATTCTACTTGTTTGTCTTTTGTGTTGTTGCGGTCATATTAGAACGTAATGCAGCCCCAGAGCCGTGGAAGAAAACAATCTTCGGATTTTTTACTTCTCTCCCGCGCTCCCGCTCGATTTGCTCGAAAAATTCTGGAATGTCGGTGTCTCTGCGCACGGAATTCCTCGCATTTTTGCTTATGACGAAATTCCAATGTATTTCGCTGCCATACTGACAGAATATTGTCAGACCTCTGGAGCGCACAGACTCTCAGCGACTTCAGCGAAAAGTGTAATTTGGCCAAATCGAATTTATAAATTATGATAAACCCTAATGACGTATTGGAAACTGAGAGAAAATAAATTACACTCGATAAATTATGCGTCAGTGCGGAAAAGGCCACTGAAAGAGAAAATATTGCCTTGTTTGAAGAACTTTAGATATTGAAGTTAAATTAATAGAAGCAACTTTCCGATACAACTGGTCGCTATTAATAATAATAGAAGTAAGTAGGTATCAATACAAAATTATGTCATGTCAGCTAGTTCAACACATAACTCTGATGTTGCTGTAAGTCGAAAAACTTCCTCCTTGATTATTATTTAATCTGAGACGACGCCGACAAAGTGGATGTCAGCGCGCGGGACAGCTTTAGGGCAGCTTTTTGAAAATCAACGGACAGATTTACCGGCCAAAATGATAACAAGGATCCTTGACTCCATTAAGAATGTACACAGGCATTTATGTCTTGTGTTTTTTTTTAATGGCAATCAATATAGAGCATGTAATAGTGAGATAGATCGGAATTCTCAACATTGTGGCGAAGAGCAACTTGATGAGAATTGTAGTTCAAGTCAGTACACGTGAATACCGCACAATTATCTCTCTAATGATTGCAGCAAAAGTGATTGTAAAAATATACCCATGAATCATCGGCTGGTGGGATTTGTCCAATTTATGCTGGTGTTTTGGAAAACACATCATAAACGTGGCTCAGCTCGCGTCACCCGCGAAAACCTCAGTGAAAAAGCACCTCTTGTCGCATTATCAGTGACGCCACTTCGCGATCAGTCTGCGTCACTGAAGAGTGCGAAAAGTGAAGACGGCAGTAAATTTAATTAAATCTCTTCACATCGACCACATCTTATCACTCAAATTACATTTATCAGCATTATGGGGCTCTTTTTTCGTGCACATTCACACCCAAGATAGTGGCGCTGGGGTGTTGCAAGGAAATGCTAATTGACTTTTTTTTCTCCCGCTCTCACCATAATCCAACGCGATCATTTGCAATGGTAATCGCACGCGGAATTCACCGCGAGTGCGTGAGTTGCACCCAAGAAGTGTCTATTAAATTGAGGAGAGAAAAACAATAAACTCGCTACTAATGGAAAGATGAATGAATTATTATTTTATGATAAGTGCATCAATAAATTGCACACACAACTCGCAGTATCTTGTGAAGAATTTTATGGCATTTTTTCTGGTACACCACAACAATGGACTTGTTAGGCCTTGGCGGCGGGTGTTCCAAATGTTAGAGACTTCTTTTTTATATATATACAAGTAAAAGGGATGCGACAGGAGGAAAAAAGGGTAAATTGGAGATTAGCCGTCTTGCCACCGTTTTAGATAATTCCTACGACATTGTGTCCTAATTGAATGACGACACACTCGATCATCTGCTACCTGAGATGATGTTATCGTGAGAAGCATTCCTCAATGGAGTGGACAGAAATCGTTCCAGAAAGACTCAATCATGCAGAATTCAATTTTAAATTGCTATTTGAAGTCACAAACCAAATGTCACGATCGACAGCATCATATTCTCTTTACCAATTTACATATGCGCTGATTTTAGTATGTTAATTGTGAAATTTTAAGAGGTTTTTATCCAAAAACCACAAAACCGCAAGTGAAAAACACCACATAAGTTGCCAACTTTACTCATCGCGCCCAGACAGGCACACTTATTAGCTCTTAACAGCATTTTAGATCTCTAACAGCCAACATACTTAAAAATCCAAAAATAAGTGCACTGCAATTTTACAAATTCTCCGTCGGCACATTTTCTATGCACTCCACGTCATTCTGCAATTCCATATCAACTGACGAGCAGATCGCGGTGCGCAATTCAATGTTTTTCGGAATCTCTATCTCTCATCATCAACTTTTCCTGATTCTTATCAATTTCACGCATTCAATCCCTGCACGATGCACTCGAAGCAACTAAATCACTCTCGAGTGTCTTGCGAGTGTGTTTGCACTTAATTTCCTCTAATTGCAACCACTTGATACAATTGTAGAGAATAGTCAACTCACCGAGAGCTATGATGATGCGGCGGATGTCTTCGCACGAGCACACAGTATCCTTTAGCAGGGATTCTTTCCAGCGGTCTTCACCAAAATCTCAAGATTTCTACACTTTTCCCTCCTGATCTCTCCCAGAGTCTCTGCCAACACAATCCTCGCAATGTCCTTAAGCGGTAAATTCTAGCAAAAAGTCACTCAATATTGTTCTAAGGCACTCTTGAGGCACATGCGAAAAGGCACGAAGTTGCCGGACTGCGCGGAGCCAGAGCTGAGCAGCAACTGCTGAATGATGGATCGTGAGTGAGGAAGTGGAGCGTCAGGTAAATCCGATTCGCTGCTGCTGTGGTGGAAAGAGAGGAGGAATACTCAGGTGTGCCGGCGTCGCGGGGTGGAAGCCCCACCTTCGGCAGCAGCTCTCGGCTTTTTTCACCTCACCATTTGTTCTGGCCCCTCGACCGGCACCAGCCAATCGTCACAATCAAACTGCCAGCGCCAACATCACTCCCGGCATCTCACCTGGTTGTCTCACTTCCACCGCTTGGCGGGCAGCCGGCCGTGCGACAGGGAGCGCCGCTGTCCGGTTCCAACGACAAATATTGATACTTCCATTTGTACCCCAAGCAGTTCTCCCACGCTTCAATTCGCCGCCGCTTTGCCGCCAAGATATTTCATGTGCTCGGAGGGGCATTAGCATGATTCCCGCGTAAATTTGTGTCTCTCCGCGAGATTGCTTCTCCGCGTCTGGGACTCTTCTGTTCTCAGGCCCAGCAAATTGAAGTGCCATATCGAGGGTGGAGCTTTTTATAACCATCGATGGTGTGTGAGATATGCTGGGGAGTGAAAAAAAGCTCCATTAGACACCAATTAAAGCCAACCTCTTTGCCTTAACTTCTCTCTCCGTCTCGGGAGATATACATAATTTAATTTTATGCCTATTGACTTTAGCTTGACGGTTTTACTTTTCATTTGGACAAAAAGGAGGCATGATAAAAATTTTCCAACACATTATACTCAAGCCAATATCTCGCCTCTCTCACGTGTGTGCTCATGTGGCGGCAATATATTCATCAGTGCGAGAGAACACACTTTATCCATTTGCAATAGAGCCAGCGCGAGAGGGAGAAATTAAATGATGCTAATCAACAATATGTTAGCGCTACATTAAATTTGTATATTTAATCGACAATAATGGATTTATTATGACAGGATGTTAAATAATATTCTGCACGTAAAATACATGTAATGGATATGAGATTGGATTTTAATATTTCAATCCTCATACGGCTATTAATGATAATTCTCTGACTTTTACAGCAAATGAATTTACTGGCTGATCTCTCTCGACTCTATTAATATTCCCCCCAAAATGAAAAAGAGCTCTCCATTCAGCATTTTCGTCTTGCTCTATGCCAAATTAAATGTTTGATCAATTTAATGATCACCTTTTTCTTCGTGCCTTGGAATTAATCACGTGTGTTTCATGTGGCATTTTTCATCTAACTTCTATGCTTCTCGCTGGCAGATAAATTTCAAAATAAATTACTTTTAAATTTATTTAGCAGCTAAGCTTTTAAGAGCTCAAATTGAGGATTTTTTCACACAGCGGCAAAACAACTTTTTATTCATCATATAGTAAAATATCCATAGAGAATTTTGAGATAGAGCCAATAATTTAATATCTGGCAACGAGACAAGATCAACAAGTTGTGTTGGAGTATCATAGGTCCATAATTTGTTGAATGATTCTTCAAAAAACCTCCATCTCCACCCAGAAGCTATAATGTTAATCAAAGGACTCCCAAGGAGATGAGAAGAGCAGCCAAGATCACTCTTCTGTATATGCACGTGAGTGCGAATGTTGGCGTGTGTAAATATTTAAGGTGAACAATTCGCCAAGTCATTAGACTTTAATTTGTATTGACATGACCTTCCATGAGGCTGGATTCTACCTCTCCAATATTGAGGTATTTGGCATTGGGAAGAAACGCGATTGAGAAGAGTGTATTGGAAAAAAGAATTGATTTAGATTTTTAACAATATATTGGATGATTCAGCTCTTCTCCGCCAACAATTTTGTGGTGTCTGCATTGAAATGTTCACAAATCCCCCATTCAATGGGGGGAAAAACAAGCAATTAAGGCAAATTCAAATCGAATTGTGTGACTACTGACTTAGATTAATAAATTCTTCGCCTTTTTGTACGCCATCGAATGAACTCATGGGGAAATTTTTGTCTTCTTTTCCTTTACAGCGCGCCCCATTCAGCCAGATTGGAATTGTGTTACTCCTAAGTTGAGCTACTGTTTCTCCATTGTGTTGAAAAATTCCACGTGAAATTGCCTCGGTAAATAGAATGCACGATCAATTGAATTGTGAAAAATGATGTCTCTTAATTGAGTCTTCCTCAAATATTCCTCCTCCTTCTCCGTTCCACACTCAACATTCCGTTCATTTATACAACATTCAACAGCGAAAAGTCCAAATTTGATAGACAAAGCATCTCATTCATATGAATATCTCGACAATTTATCAAATACAATTTCCATGTTAAATTATGCTCCACCTTCAAGTGCGCCAGAGAGAAACATTAAGTCCCAAATTTCAACTATAAAATGTTTAATTTGTCTCTAGATTCACTAAAATGTGTCTGTGATCGTTTTAATTGCTCAAACCTATTGTAATCCACGCTGGTGAGATGGATGGAATAGACAAAAAATTAATATTCCCTAAATGCTGCGCACCTTAAATGTCTCTTTAATGAGTTCTCATGTCAATTAAAGTGGATGGAAAAAGCTTGACTTTTCTGGTGGGGCGAAAAGCTTGAGTATCCGGAAAAAATTGCCACTCAAGTGCCCCAAATAAAACTCTCTAACTCCAATGAAATTCTCTCGAAAGGTTGCTAAATTCCGCAAAAGAAGCGCTTTTTGAGTTTCTGTTGAAATCCATGCAAGTACTTTAATGCGGTATTAAATGCTGAAAAGCTCATTTGCACCACTTTATGTTGTTTTGGTTTTGTTCTTTCAGTTTTCAGAAGAAAGCCAAAATCTTCGGCAAATAAGAAAGCAAAGGATTTCATTCCGAATTTTCCCAATTTCCACAAATTATCCTCGCTCACGCAAACAACCTGACAAACGCCGAAATGTCCAGTGAGAAGTTATTGTTCTTTAATTGGACTAATGCCATGGAATCAATTTGAGCGGCATTAGCCACGACATAGAGCCTATTTGTCAATGGATTAAATTGTATTACAACATGTGGCCTGTCGCCGAATCGGGCGTGAGGGATGAGAATTGAAGTGTCTCCCACAGAAAAGGTGAATTGAGGCGCCCCTCGAGGTGAGTGTTGTCGCACAGAGTGACGGAGATGCCACCTAATCTGATGATGAAACGCGCAACACAATTAAATAATGATTAATTCTCTTTACATGCCAAATTACGAGTCACCAAATTTTCCCGCCGAAACTGTCAGAAGCAGCACGGCGCGAAGAAGCGCTGAGACTCTTCCGTGGCTTCGTGCCTTCGGCTCATTATCCTCCTAATGACGGTTAAGTGTGGTGCAGAGAAGAGTCTCGGGGAGGGCGAAATAATGGTGAAAGAGAAGACACACTCTGTGGTGGCCCCCAGAGGACAAAACGGTAGCAATCATTATAACATTGGTAACTATTATGAACCTCCACAATCTTCCCATCTACACCAAATCAGAAATTGACACTGGGCTGCTAAATTTTCAGTGTATGCGCACATCAATTATCTGATGGCTGTGGTGAGATTAGAAACACAAACAGTGCTTTTTTCTGGGTCTCCTTCCTTCCTCGAAAAATAGAAATTAGCTTCGACTAAATTACAGCTCTGACTGTGGGGAAAAAGCATAATGCAATTTGCCGTATCTCCTTCTGCTCAGCAATTCTGTGACACTTTACCAAATTACATTTTAAAAATTACAATTTATATACATATATGGAAAAGCAATTGCCAAAGCAATGAAACACAGCTGAAATTGTCGATTTTGTCCTAAATCTACATCACGCAAGCACTAATTTGGGGGCGTGATTTGGAAAATGTGTAGCAAAATTTGCTCATTAAGTGCGATTTGTTATGCACCACATCGCAACATTCCATCCCAATTGCCGTGGGCAAGTGAAGATTTCGCCACTTTGGTCGCATCCGCAAGAACAAACTCCGCAATTTTCTCACATTATACAATGTATCACTATTTTGGCGATCGCGTCGCAGCCCAAGAAATGCCACTCTCGCCCAATTCAACCCTTTTCCGGCGCGGGCAGCTTTTGGAAAGTCATAAAGAAGCACTTTGGCCAGGGCCAAATTGCCCACCGATGAAATTGCCCATTGAAACTACCTTCGTGACACTCTTTCAATGATTGCACGAAGGTGAATAAATGAAGCAATTAAATTGTTATTTAATTATGTTTGAGCTGTAATATAATTTTTCAATCATGTGCATGAAATTTCATGTAGTGAATCACCCCAAAACACGAAAATGCTGGATATTACAATTCGTAAATGTATGTTATTAATGAAATTGTATTACGAACAGAAATCCGGAAAACTGCCATCAAGTGTTAGACCCTCTTAAAAGCGTCCCTCGAGGAGTTCAAAGGGTTCGCGCCAAACATATCAAATGATGGTGGATAGAAACAGATGTGACATGAGCAATTTTGTGCAGAATGAACAGTTTTATTTGGCGGTTCATTTCTTAATTTAAATTGAGAAATAACTCATCTGCAGAATATTGCTGGAGCCTCTGTCCCAAATTCCAATTAAAATTCACGAGATATTTTGACAATTTGCTGATTTATCGATAGCAACATTATTGGCATGTTGAGAGAGAAAAAAAAAGATTTTCGTCTGTGTAAATTCAATTTTGATCATTCAGTCAAAATACTCGGCATTCTCCTGTGTGTTCTCCAAGCATCATCTATTGAGGCCTCTATAATATTTGACCCTTTCATCGCTATCGCGCATCTTCGCCTCTTGTTCTTGTGCCTTATTCTATCGCATACCACGAGTGATCAATTCCGAGCCGAAAGACCGATGCGAGGCATTCCAGTCACAGAAATATGTTAATTCTTTTTCTGATGTGCTATCGGGAAGAGATCATTCCTGGGCCACGATGTGGAGATACTGCTGAGTGAACAACACCAAATTATGTTCTGTTAAATTAGTTATTGACAACCAATTAAGATCTTATCGCCTTTATTATATGCTAAATTGGTAACACAGTACCTGCATGGCGTTTCATTTTATAATTCGCTCTCCCGATCATATTTAATTTCTCATATTTAAGCAATTTGCAGGCCACGGCCATCGCCATAGTGTGGAGAAATTGAAAAGAAGCTCTCCGTGCGGCAAGGAGGCGAAATCGATACGCGCCCGAGTGCCGCGACCATCGCCAAGGAAGTGTAATGAGAAAGAGTAATGATGATGGAAGTGAATATGAATTAACTTCTCTTCAATATTAATACACGTTATAATGCGTGGTAATTACTGAGCATAATAGTATATGAGCGCGATATCCTCATTCTCGGCCTCGGCGATATTCACCCCTGATTAGCTCCCAACAATACCAGAAGCCTAATAGACACCACAATTGGCCAACATTAATAGGACGCACAGATCCCCAGACATTCCATCATTCGGCCCGAATTCGATATGCCCCCCGAATGATTTGTATGGTCTTTTAATTGGTTTTCGTTAACGTACATTTTGTTTTCTCCTCAGCCGATCCAAATTCGATAAAAGCCTCACTTTTCCCGACAGTCACCGTGACACTCCACTTCCAGGCCAGACCTTTGGGAATTCGGCCTCTCTGGCCGTTCGGCACTGGGTGAAAAATCGACTATTGGCGCCGCTCGATGCTTTTTTCCCGAAAACACACCTCTGCACCATTCTTTAATTATTGCAATTCGTTCCTCATCCATGTGTGCTTTAGATCAACAAAACAGCCACAGCACTTTTTTTCCACCTCCTCAGCATTACCCGAGATAATTATAAATTGTTTATTTCATTAGTGATCCGGTATCGATTGAGGAGTTTATTACCCAGGAAAACAGCCGCGAAAGAGTGGAATGCACGGTGAGGGAGAGAATGGCTTGTATTTTGAAAATGACCATTTGATGAATGAAGAAATATGATCTAATTCAAATGAATGCCTTGAAGTATCATTTTGTGATCATTGATCAGTTTTTATTCTCTCTCTCTCTCTGCTTTTCAGAGATCCAACAGACAAGATATGAGTTGCTATTTACACTCGAGCAATTCTTGTTAATCCAATAATGCTTTTCACTCTCATAAATTACAATCAAAGAATTGAAATATAGAGTAATTTAAGCCACTTCCAGAAGGGCAAACAGAACAGATTATAGCGTGAATATATAGAGGACTCAATATTACGGCCTGTAATGCTGTTAATTGGTGAATTTTTAATACAACAATATCCACCTGATAAACCCAACCCCACGTCAAATACCGACCTATTTATTATACGGCATAAAATTAAATTTCATTAATGTCGGAGAGAAACGCGAGCTTTTGCCTCAAACATTTCCTCACCTCATTCACCCAATTGTTCACCTCTTGTACTCTCCGTGTGTGTTCATTTAATTAAAATATTTAATTTACATGCTAAAGACGTGATATTTGGGAAAATAGCCAGAGAAAAAAAACCACACTTCACTCTGAAATCTTATGAATAATTTCAAGCGCGCTGGAAAATTCCCATCTTTTGCCAGCAATTACCACTTTAATATGGCTTATTGAGATGAAAATGGATATTTTTTCAATTAACGATAAACCGGCACTGCGAAATTAAGGTCTTAAATTTAATAAAAAGTGCCAGCCACATTTAATGAAGGCATCTTGTGCGGTGGTCTCTCGAAGGAAGTGTAATTAATTGATTTCTTGTCTGAAATTGCTCCTTCGCCAAAATGGATTAACATCTTGGGCTCTGAGTGGGGATTATTCATTTAAAAGTGAACTGATCGTGTGTATAAATTCTATCGCACAATCTAATTTGCTCAATAAATACGTAAACACGCATAAATAACAATTAGAGATCAAAACATTGACTGAAAATATGATCTATAAATTATATCAGTTGAAAAAAAGCACACTTCTTTGGCAATATTTTTGCTGAATTATTAATTTGCACACTGTTGTGTGCAAAAGAAGCACCACAGCTTTGATGCAGTCCTTCTTAATTTATATAGCATGCATTTAATTCCGACTAATTGCTTCTCTGTTGATATACATTCCTTCAAAACCAGCAGAAACATCATCATTTAGTCTTGCCAAAAATTCAATTATCTCGCTAAATAAGAGTGAAAAATGCCCATTATTCGCTTAGGTCAGTTCATCATGAATACGAAATATATTTTGCTTGAACAAAAAAAATAATAATTTAAACGACTTAACGTGAATTCTCGCGCGTATCTTTTCGAAGATAAATTTCACGTCATTATCATTTCCAGTCATTATTTTTCTGACTGTGTGAAAACTTATATCTTTCATTTTGGACTCAATTTTTCTTCCTCCCTCTCTTATTGTCTTTTCACCTTTTTTCTCTCACTTCTTTTCTTTTATTTAGCACAGCAACATTTTTTCTGGGTAAACGAAGATAATGCAATAAGTGCAAAAATTGCTCAGAAACCATAATTTTCACATAAACAATCCTCACATAACACAATATCGAGGATGTGTGCATAAGCAAAGTGCATTCGATTCGCAAATTGCTGGTGCTTTTGGCGTGAGCAAAAACCTCAAGAGGGGGTGAATGAAGGGTGAGAAGGAAAGTGTAATGAAAAACCATTGCAAATTGATGCAAAATTATTCATTGGGAGCCTCCAATAATATTGCAAATATTACTGATCAATTGCTCACACAGATCGAACGCGCTGCACAATACCAGAAAATTGGCGTGATGTACTTTATATTCTCTCATATTTCATCCATTACCTCCTTCGTATCTTTTGTCTTTCTGCCACAGAGCATTGGACAAAAAGGAGGGATTTTCCTTTATTCCACATCTCAACTCTCTCTCTCTCTCCCTCCTGTTCTTCACCCTCCGCGAAGGAGGGAAAGATCAATTGCTGTGGCTAATTTTATTCTCTGCTCTCTGTTTTGTGGCTTAACAAAATTATATATGCGCACTTGAGCAGAGTTGACCAAATTACTCGATTCCTCTAGACGGAAGATTCAGAAATTTAATCTAAAAAGACTAACAATTAGAGATTGGAAGAAAGGACAGAGAGAGAAAGTAAAGAGTGACTATTAACATTCACGTGAGACAATTATACTTCTTGAGACAATTCCTGGCAGATTCAAAGAAAATAATTATTAAGATCCTCGCTAATGAAAACCTCTGATCCTTCACTTGATTCACCAGATAGGATAATTCAATGTAGTGAAAATTGAGTGAATAAGGAATGGGTTATTATGAGAGACACTCAATTGCCAATGATCATGGAGCAATCTAAGCTGAGAAGTCATGTTTTGTCCACGATAATTTGTCGTCAACAATATTGAGGGAATCCTGCTTTAAGCTCAGAGAGACTATTTAAGCCACAGCATAAGAAATCAGGGAGTTTGCTCCGTTATTAATCAATTATAGCCGAAAGAGCAGAACAGTGTTTGTGCGGGATTCGAATTCCAGCCCAAGGCTGGAAGCTCAAACCATCGAATTTTATTCAATCATCACTTATCTGGTCTATTATCAACTCTGATGGCATGTCCAGGGAAGACGCCCTGCAAACGAGGAAGGAAAAGGGAGGGAAAATAATGTGATGAAAGATGTAATATGAAAATGAGACCGCGATCAAAACTGATCAATTATCACATTGTGGATTGGATACGTGGCAAAACCACCACATTGATCATCTCACTGAGCATTTTTCCACACAGAAAATCAATCGGGATTTTTTCTTTCTCTCTTCCACAAATTTTCAATATTCTTCCTCTGCCAAGACTGGCGCGCAGTCCAATCACAATCTCAATATTCTCCCTGGCACGCATTAAAGTGATTTAATGGGAAAATGGGGAGAGATTGACCTCGTCCAGCTTTTAATTCCTTCCGCGTGGACAGATTTCTCTCCGATGAATCATCCCATTTAATTTCCTCGCTGAGACATTAAATTAGCCTCATGAGGTGATCAATGCGGAGCTGATGAGCATTCAAGATGATTGAGGAGTGTGAAAGAATTAGAAGAAATATTACATCTCGCTCAATTTGCATAGACTGAGAGGTATCATTACTTCATTGAGGAAAATTATGAGCCTCCGCAGTGAGAAATATGCTCAAGCGGTGCCCATTTGGAAGGAGGAACCCGCTAAAAACAGGCGGAGTCACCGTGGAAATCGCACGAAACCAGAAAATAGTCGCACACGATCAGCGATCAGATCGAAACTGACTATCTTGAAATTTGTAAATTCTTTATTTAAACGGCAGTCGCTTCAGTTTCAATCCTCGCGGCTTCCGGACGAGTTTCTTCCTCTCCTCGCGATGCTGTCTTATCTGATTTGCACGCACTCTCATGCCCTTGCTTCCGGATCCCACGATGAACTTCATCTGCCGGCCAGTCGAAGTTTCTTCGACTTTGAATGCATTCGCTGCACTCTCTTGCTTAGCCACCCGATCACCCAGCGTCATTTGCCTCCTCTTGCTGCTCTTCTTCACATCCCAGCCCACATTCAGATCATCCTCTTCGCGGACCTTAATAGAATCCTGCTCCTGAACCGCTTCTTCGCGTCGCTTCTCCCTTTGAATGGCCTTGTACTGCTTCTTCACGTCCTTCGTCCACCGCTGATCGTCATCAGAGCTCTCATCTGCGTCCTCCTGCTCAGAAAAGAGATCCTCATCCGTGCTCTCATGCACAGCATTGTCGTCTTCCTGAAGGACCGTTGGCGTGACTTTTGGAATGACCGTTTTGGCGGGTTTCAACTTCTTCAGATGCGCCAAGACAGGCTTCAGCATCTTAAACTCCTCAGCGCCCTCGTCAATTGTGAAGTCAGGATCCGCGAAGAGAGCCGAAAATCTCTGATCTTGCATCAGAGATTGATTTTCCGTGTCTATCAATTTCTCTGCCAGATCCTTGTTGACTTTAGGCAGATTTGTCTTAATCTCCACACGACTCGGTCGCGCCATCTCGATCTGCTGACGCGCCTTTTGCTTCTTATACCGATCGAAGGAGTAATAATCCACCGCCGAGCGCGCCTTTCTATACAATCGAATGTCCACAAAGTAGCCATGCATGTAAGCTCTCAGCAAATTAGTGCCTTTGAGGTCCTCCAGATTGAGTTCCGCCAACTCCTGCTTCGTCACGAACTTGTAATCATCGTAGATGTTCTGCACTAACTCCGTGTCCAGTTCCTCAGTGAGATTGTCTAGGAAGGAACACCATTTGGGCGCCGGTCCCAACTGAGGCACGTAGAATGTCTGCATCCGCTTGTCCTCCTGCGCGAAGAACAGCATTCCCGTGTTGGCGATTGTACAGAAATCATTAAATTCCGACGAGGATTCAATGAATGTCAGCTGCTTTCCTGTATTCTCATCCCACATCTTCAGAACTCCACTGTCCATCGAGTAAACGATGGACTGATTGGGATTGAAGTTGATCCTCTTAATAGGAAGGTTGTTCATGTGATCTTTTGTGGTAAAGGGACGATTTGATCGCAGATCATACAGAAAAATCTGTCCATCACTTGTTCCGGCGCCAAATTGCAGCCCATTCTTGAACTTGAGGGCAGTTATCGAGGGTATGTGAGTGCCATCCAATCCTGTATTCTCCATTGTCACCTGCACAGAGGCGCAGCGGGACTTTTGCCGTGGATCCCACGCCTCGACAGTTCCCTTCTCCGTCCCGATGCACAGCAAATGGTGTTCCGGATTGACTTCGCAGACATTATTGATCGGAGATTGTGTCTCGAACGACTGCGAAAACTGCCCGCGCTCGAGATTGAAGCGATAAATCTCCTGCAAGAGACACCAGTTAATACATTTTCCGGGAATTTCTCATCATCCGGCAACTCACCGGAGAGGAAGCCGCCAAGAAGAGGTCACAAGAAGGCGTGTGGTAGGCAAGATCCCTTCCAAACTTGGGTATTCGCAATCTGTAGTGTCTTCCCGGAGCTGTGTGGAACTCGATGTGCCTGTCGCACTGCAGGAACACAATCTTGCTGTAGTCCTCACTGAGGATCTCAAAGGTGACCACCTCGGAATCGAAGCACCGCTCAAACTTCACTGAGAGGTTATTGAAGTCATAACACTTAATCCGTGGCTTGTACGTTCCCGTGGCGATGACGAACTGATTGTCCGGCGTCACCTGAATACTCGTGGACACTCCAGGCATGTCAAAGTCCTGAATAAGATCGATCTTCCTCCGCAAATCCCCATTTTTGTTCAGTAATTTCTTCTTCTTCTGGTCAGTCAGCCACTGCAAACGAAACATTGGTCATTTTGGCGCAAATACAAGGAATGTTGCACAACTTACATCTGGGAGGGATTTTCCAGCACTCAAATTATAGATTTTCACCTCATTCACGTCTGTTAGGGACATTTTTCGGGGAGAAAATCGCAGGAATTCTCACGAAGAAAATGTAAACACGTGAAGCGTGCTCATGACAGCTGACAGGGTTGCCCAAAATATGCGCGGCGAAGCGGGCAACACTTCGCCTCCCGCGGTTCAACCAATTCGAATTTTGAGCTGAACTCAGGCGAAAAGCCAGCCGAGTTGCGGTTTGTGTCTCGGCTCGCGGAAAAGCCGTTAAAATCTAATTATTTCTGGATGAAACGTTCAAAATCAAGATGAAAATGCCAAAAACCGTAGAAAATCCTTGAAAAATGCGCGCTTTAATACAGTAAATATAATCTTAAACTGTAATTTATTTCTCAGTCACTTCATACTTCACCCGGAGAATTGAGTTATCATCAAATGAAAACTCGTGTGTTTTGGTTTGATTTTCCTTTGGCTAAGTTTTCATAATTACAAGCCTTACAAGCTATTGTACTTCCAACTGCGACCTAGTAATTACGTCAATGAACTCTATTAAAACATCTCTTCTTCAACCTATATATTCTCCTGAATAATTATTATGTGTTATTGTGTCAAAAGATCAATCAATTTATGCAAAAGATAGAAAATTGATTCAAACAATCGTGGATATTGGTGCAATACACAGGTTAGTGCTTTATTTGTGCGTTCGTGATCAAGTGAGAAGGTAGTTCAGAATCATGACAGCCTCAGAATTGCCCACAATTGCTGAATTTTTTCGTGATCGTGAAATTTTCATCACTGGCGGCACGGGATTTCTCGGTAAAGCGGTGGTGGAGAAGATTTTGTACTCATGTTCGCATGTTAAGAAGATTTATTTGCTGTTGAGACCCAAGAGAAGTGTTTCAGTGGCCGATCGATTGATACAATTCAAGAACAATCAGGTGAATATTCTGTTTCCTCCTACAAATAATGCAGATACTCAACGATTTCCTCTTCCTTGCAGATCTTCAATCGCATCAGGGAGAAAGATGAGAGCCTCCTGGATAAATTGGAAGCTCTGAAGGGCGATTCAATGTGCCTCAAGTTGGGTCTCAGTGATGAAGACATCAAGAAGCTGGAGAATGTCTCAGTGGTGATAAACAGTGCGGCTATGGTGCGATTTGATGAGCCTCTCGGTCAGGCGATCTTCATGAATACGCGAAGTGCGCGGGAATTGCTGGGCATTGCTGAGAATCTCAAGCATCTGCTTGTTCTAGTGCACATCTCCACGACGTACTGCAATCCCAGCTATTCAGTGATTGAGGAGAAGATCTATCCGCCACTGGCCAACTGGCGAGAGGCGATAAAGCTGGCTGAGAATATGGATGAGGACACTCTGGAGGTTTTGGGGGCTAAATACATGGACTTCCAGCCAAACACTTACACTTTCACGAAGAGCTTAGCTGAGCAAATCATGAATGAGTACAGAGAGAAGCTTCCCATCATCGTCTTTCGACCATCGATCATCTCGCCGTCCGTGAAGGAGCCTTTCGAAGGATGGGTGGACAATTTCAATGGCATCACGGGAATCCTGGCTGTGGGCGGATCGGGAATAGCGCGAGTGGTTTACTCCTCCACAGAGGTGAAGAGCAATTTCCAACCGCTGGACGTCTGCGTGCGATCTCTGCTCGTGGCAACGTGGAAAGGCGCCCTGGCGCCCAGCAAAGTGCTGAAAGTGTACAATTGCGCCTCTAGCAGTGAGATGGAAGTGAAAGGATGTGAAATATTCGATCAAAGCCGCGCAATTGCGGCGAAAATTCCCCTCGACGAAATGGTGTGGATTCCAAATGCCATCATCACCACCAATTACTACTTCTACAAGATCTGCCTGCTGCTGATGAACATCTTCCCGGGTATGATTGTGGATGTGGTGCTGAAGTTGCTGAAGAAGAAACCCATCGCCCTGAACATTCTGCGGAAGTTTCACTTCGCCTGCTCTTCGCTGTCGTACTTCATGTTCAGAGATTGGTGCTTCATCAACGACAACTGCTTCAATCTGATGAATGACATCAAATGCGAGGACATGGAGAGCTTTGGCTTTGACTTCTTCGAAGGCATGGACTCATACGAGTACATGTTCAAGTCCAGTTTGGGCGGAAGGAGATTTCTCATGAAGCAGCCGGATGAGAATATTCCGCGTGCCAGAAGAAACTATCGGATTCTCTGGCTGCTCGATCGAGGACTGAAGCTTGTCTTCTGGAGCAGCGTAATTTACTACTTAGTCACGTGTTGTGATCTCTCGAATTTAAGAAGGAAATTCATACTTTGGCAGAGTTCTTAATACATTTAACGTCAGCAAAGGCAGCATTGAATGTTTTGTGGCGAATGGCGGAATAATGTTTCTATCTTACCCAATAAACTCTAATACAAATTTTACAATTGACGTCAATCGAAGGTCGAATTGACCAATTTTCGCTACCCTGAATGAGCCTCATTTTAAAACACCAGAATTCGCAATAAGTTCGAGAATAAACAGGTGAAAATATATTCACTACTCCCCAATTTTAACGTATAATTATCGGGCAATTCCCTTTGATTCATTTGTCAAGGTCTTGTGAGGATAATTTTGGCTATTTGCCGAAATGTAATTTAGTCCGTCATTAGTCGCAATCGAGAGCGCATAAGAAAATTAGCGCAATGGGAAAATTTGAACTCATTCCGGATTTCTTCGATGGTCGAGATGTATTCATAACGGGAGGATCGGGACTGATAGGAAAGACGTTGATAGAGAAGATTTTGTATTCTTGTTCGACTGTTAATAAGATTTTCGTGCTGTTACGGTCAAAAGGAGGCCGGAATGTGGAGGAGAGGCTCGAGTGCCTTAAGAAGTCCGATGTAAGTTCAGGTGTTCCGTCGTGCACTGCTGGGAAATCTCTAGTTTGACTCTCGTTGTGTGTCGGCAGGTGTTCCAGCGGATCAGGACCAAGGCTCCGGATTTGTTTGACAAGATGGAGGCTGTTGAGGGGGACATTTGCGAGCGAGGACTGGGTGCGAATGTCTTGGCCACTCAGGAGAGACTCGCGAATGTGTCTGTGATAATTCACGGAGCGGCGAGTGTGCGCTTTGATGATCCCCTGATCAAGGCCGTCAACATTAACATATGCGGCACGAGAGAGATCCTGGATTTTGCTGAAAAGCTCCCGAAACTCAAGGTTTTCTTCCACATTTCCACCACATTTTGCTATCCCGAGTACAAGTTTCTGCAGGAGAAATTGTTTCCGCCCTCAGCGGATTGGCGAAAGATCCTGGCGATTGTTGAGAACCTGGACGAGGAGGTGGTGTACGCCATGGAGCAGAAGATCATAGGACATCAGCCGAACACCTACACCTTCACGAAGAACCTCTCTGAGCACCTGGTGTACGAGTATCGACACAAAGTCCCGATCGTCATCTACAGACCGTCGATCATGACGCCTGCCGTGATGGAGCCCTTCGCCGGCTGGAATGACAACGTGAACGGGCCTGTGGGCATCATGATGGCCACGGGCAGCGGCCTGATTCGCACCCTATTCACAGACCCGAAGATCGTGCTGGACTTCAACCCCATCGACGTGACTGTGAAGGGGATGATCATCGCCATCAAGCGCCAAGGCGTGCGCAGCATAGAGGAGATCTACTCGTCGGACGTTCCCATCTACAATGGCTCCTCTGGGCAGGTGAACCCGGTCACGTACTACGAATTGGCGATGCTGGGCAACTCCTGCATCCCCATGGTGCCCTTCGACTACTTCGTGTGGCCCATAAGCTTCATCGCCACGACCTGGTTCCTCCACTTCTACATTCGCCTGCTCTTCCTGCAACTCGCGCCGTCCATCCTCATAGACTTCGTCATCCGCCTGGCAGGGCGTCCGCCGATCGTGATGAAGCTGCAGCGCCGTCTCTACCTCGCCCAGATCAGTCTGGCGTACTTCATGCGGCAGAGATTTGAGTTTGAGAACGCCAACCACGTCTCTCTGCTCAGCGATCTGCGCGGCAGCGACGTTGACTGCTTCAGCTTCAGCTACTACAAAGATGTGGATCACATCCTGTACTTTGTCATGTGCATCCTCGGCTCCAGGCGCCACATTCTGGGCCAGAAGGACGACACACTGCCTCTGGCCAGACGGAGATTCAATCGCATGGTGTTCCTGCGCAACACCCTGCAGACCCTCTTCTACGCCTTCATCGTGTGGTTCGGCTTCAATTATTACAAGAAACACTACGCTCTGGCCACTTAAGTGACCAGCACTTTTAGTCACTGCATCTCATTACACTCACACAATGCGTCTCTGTCGCACAGGGCATCCGGGTTAGGATATTCAATGAACTCACCTTGCTATTTGGGGTACCTTTCGTCGCTTCTCCACGATTTCCATTCAATTCATTTCGCACGCTGCAAATTTCCTCCTTCTGCCTTTGAACAGAATATCGCGAAGAATAAATGCTCAGCCCAATTGTTGGTTTTCTTTCACGGTGGATCTTCTTTTTGGGGCTTTAAAGTGACTTCTGAGATGTTTAATGTATAGAGAATTTTGGAAATAAAAGTATGTCTCAATGATTGATGACGTCAGTAATTATTCTGGACAAGAAAACGCATTGAATGTAGATGAATGTTTCTTTAAGTTTACCAACCTTCGTCGAATTCTCAAAATATAGGTCATAGTCTTCCAAACTTTGGCATTTCCATGAGTTGTTTGTATCAATTGATTAACCCTTTAAGACTAAGTGTCTTATGAGATTCTGATTATAGACTTTCTCTGAGGCCTTCTTTAAAAATTCATCTTTTGCTAGATTAAATGGGTGAAATAAGTCTAGTTTTACCCTGAAATAAAATATGTAGAATGTAAGGTTTTGACCTCAGCTATAAGAATAGTTTTTGTCACTTTAGCGACTCTAGAAATGATTATACTAAGTTATAATGTTCGAATGGGAGATGGCATTTTGCAAAACCTTTCTAATGAATCTAAATTTATTCTAATCGTATAATTGGAAATTGACTTAAGATCTCTTTTAAATCTTTCTTCTGAAATCTAGATCCCGAAAGAACTTTGAGCCTAAAGTGGGGATTTTTTCGAAATGTCTTGATGCAGTGATTTTAAAGTCCAGCTCTTAAAATGAATTCTAAATTTAGATGCTCCGCACCTTTCAATTCCAAATCATTGGTAAAAAACCGTGAAAGCACACACGCGTGAAGAGCCAAAAATCCATTCAGCCATTATGGTCAAAAGTGCGACGTTATTATGTTCAATATGTTGATTTTCAATTGTCACCTCTGTTCGCCAATACATAAATCAAAGGAGAAACAATAGTCAAGTATCAATATTTTTGATAGAATGTGCGTGAAGGAGGAAAAAAGACTGTCCGAGAAGAGAGACACAATATTTCCGTTGGGATAATGTTATAACATTTGCTTATTATCATATTCATTCGCACAATACAACTCAGAGTCTCGAGAGAACGCTTGATTTGCAATTAATGGAATTCATAATTGTATGTTATACTCGACGCTGTGTTCAATAAATGTAAAAAGATAATATTTCTCGACTTTAGTGCACGTCAATATACGAAGGTGTGAACATCAATGTATAGTTTTCTAGTGTCGAAGAGGGTGGAAACCGTTCAAACTGAGAATTTCTCATTCTCAGGGGTGAAAAGGAGGGAATCTGAGCAGAAACGGTGGGTTTTTTTGCATTCTCATTTGGAATTTCCAAGATAAGAAGAGATGTATTATTTGTTATGCGCATAAGACGCGAAATATGATATAATTTTCACACAGAATGTGTCCTTGTGAGCAAATTCTAACGCTTCACGCTTTCCATCGAGTCATTCTCACATTAGCTGGACGGAACTATTTGCAATTTTAAAGAGGTGTCTCCGACAATTAACAATTGTGCCGTCTGACGAATTAAATATATCGGTGAAACAGTGAAATAATTACAATGAAATTTATATGGGGGAACTTTTTGTGTTCATTCCCAGCGAACGGACAATCATTCAGAGTGAAGTCGCTCGTTCGAGCACAACATTTGCTCAGAAATAGTGCTGAAAAAGCCCGGGAGAAATCCTGACTTATCCCGTTTTTTTCCCTCTGTGAAGTGCTAATAACATCCTTTCACCATGTATAGAGCGATGGACGTGAGTCTTCTGCCCACCATCCCGCAATTCTTTGCGGGACGGGACATCTTCATCACGGGCGGCAGTGGATTCATGGGTAAGGCGCTGATCGAGAAGATCCTGTACGCCTGTCCCAGCGTGGGCAACATCTACATCCTTCTGCGTCCGAAGAAGAATCGTGGAGTGGCGGAGCGATTGGCTCTGCTGAAGCAGGAATCTGTGTTTGAGCGAATGCGTCGCGACAAGCCGGAACAGCTGGACAAACTCGTGGCTGTGGCCGGAGATGTGGCAGTGCTGGAGATGGGAATCTCCGAGGAGGATGTGAGAGCCATGGAGAATGTCTCGATTGTCTTCCATGTGGCCGCGAGTGTGAGATTCGATGATCCGCTGAAGGATGCCATTCTGATGAATGCACGAGGAACGAGAGAAGTTTGTCGCTTTGCGGAGAAGCTCGAGAATCTTAAGGTGATGATGCACGTGTCCACGTCCTACTGCAATCCCGATTGGCATGACATTGAGGAGAAGATCTATCCGCCGTACGCGGATTGGGAGAAGGCCATCAAGATCGCCGAGACATATGATACAGAATTATTGGATATTTTCGCGCCAAAGTGAGTTTTCTGTGAAATGTCTGAAAATTTTCCGCAATACTCCAACGACGCGCGCTGTCATGAATAGATTTAAATACAATTGCTTATTCCAAAGTACAAAAGCATCAATTAAGTGAGTATTTTTCCCCACCATTCCAGGTACACGAGTTTCCAGCCAAACACTTACACCTTCACAAAGTCTCTGGCGGAGCAAATAATCAATGACTTCAAGGAGAAATTGCCGGTGATCATCTTTCGGCCGTCGATTGTTATCTCGTCGGTGTCGGAGCCGATGCCGGGCTGGATAGACAACTTCAACGGACCCGTGGGTCTGCTGGTGGGCTGCGGCCTCGGGATCAACCGCACGCTGTACTCGAATCCTGACAATGTGGCCGATTACACACCTGTGGACATCGCCATTCGCGCCATGATCTCGGCGGTGTGGAAGAGAGGCACGCAAGAGCCGCTGTAAGATCGCGAAATTCACTCACTTTACCCTCAGATCATCGAACATGTGGCTGAAATGGTTGAGATAATCAGTGATTACAGCTCTAAATCATAAATTACTCGCTCAATCATCCGCTCACCTCACGCGGTGCCTTAATTGCCTAATCACATGCTCATCTGATAAATCCAGTAATGATGCGCTGAGCAATTGTGGGAGGCGCAAACTTATTGCCGAAGGTCAAAGACTGTGCGAATCTACTTGTTTGCAATGCAAAAGATAGTTTTTAGCGATTTGAGGGTTGAAAAACTCATTAATGCTTCATATCTTAAGGTTGTTTGCTTTATTTTTTACACCACTGTCAAAGCTACAATTTTTCTATCATTTTTCTGATTTAAAGATGATTTTTAAAAGGTCTTGAAATTCTCTAAAGCTCTCAAGTATACAAAGTTTGTATGACAAACCATTTGTGAATTTCTACTGTTTGTCTTTCCGCGTTAGCAGAATATTTTGTCCAACTTTTCTGAAGAAACACTGTATTGTTTTGGACTAAAAAAAGTCTAAATCGAGAAGAATTTGTTTGCACACAAATTCTCAAATTAGAACAAATCTCTTAAGTTTCCAACTGATATGTTTGATGTGCAAAAATTCAAAGGAAATCCAAAGAATCGGCAACCAAAGTTCATGTCTGATAAGTGTTTCAGAGCTTTTCTTAGCAGAAATAATCTCTTATTCGATCCCAATTGGTATCAAGTCAGATATGAATTGACTTCTGTTCTGTTGCAGGGATCTTCTGCCCATCTACAACTGCTCCACATCCGACAAGCGACCGCAGACGTTCAACGACGTGGTGAATCTGGGCAAGGAGCTCTCGCCGCAGTGGCCCTTCGACCACACACTGTGGGCGCCCGGCGGCAGCGTGACCAACTGGAAGATGTACAACTACATCAAGGTGATCCTGCTCCACGTCCTGCCGGCGATCATCATTGACATGGCGCTGAAGCTGAGCGGCAAGAAGCCGTTCATCCTCAAGCTGCAGCGCCGCATTTATCAGGCCAATCAGGCTCTGGCGTACTTCGTCCTCAACGTGTGGACGTTCCAGAACAAGAATCTGTATTCGCTGAACGAGGGCCTGCAGGACTGCGACCTGAAGGCCTTCCAGTTCGACTATGAGATTAACACGGACGTGAAGAACTACTTCAGCATGGCGATCCTGGGCACGCGGCGGTACTTGATGCACGAGAAGGACGAGGACTTGCCGATGGCGAGAGCCAAGTTCAATCGGATGGTGCTCCTGGACAAGGTGGTCAAGACGATCGTGTACAGCGCCCTCACGTACTTCCTGGTCGTGCGCCTGGACATCATTCCGCTGCTGGTGCGCCTGACCAACAAGAACATGGCGCAGTACATGAATTGAGAGAAACTCAGCTCGGAAGTTATGTTATGAATTCTTTATTTTTTACAAATCAAAATGAAAATTGCGTGGCGATCCACTAAATATAAAATGGAATGGAAATTGTAGTAAACTTTTATTGCTCTCTCACGGGAAATTCCAGGCAATAAGTAAATATATTTCATATCCGCTTGATATTATCCAAGGATTAAATGCTATGTCATCTTAAGTTTATCTTCTTATGAGTTGTGTCTGTGTCCTCTTTTTAATTCTGGGAGTCTCAGAGTGTGTCTCTCTTGCGAAAAAGCATACAAAACAAAGTGTGTGTAATTGAAATGCAATGGACGAACACAATCTTCGGATAAAATGACAATAAAAAAATTAAGTCTTTTGCGCGTTGGAAAGGAAATCCATTTCTCAAAGACAAACTTCCTAACAGACCCTGAATTTGGTGGATTCAAATAGGCGCGATTGTCCTTAGGCATTAACACATAAATATTCTTTTTTTTCTCATATCTTGCTTTGCTAAATAAATATTCACTTCGCTCCTCTTCTTTTTTTCATTTTCATGAACATTGTTTTTTTCGGGTTGCGCGTTCCGTTGCTGACCAAAAAGTAAGGCAGAAAAGAAAATACAACACTGGTGTTTTTTTTTCTTTCACATAAAAAGGCATTTAATTGCAATTTTTACGCTTTTTCATATACTCATTTTTAATAAAAATAAATAATTCTTACATTACATTTTGATCGGCAATGAATGTTTTCCTTTTTTTTATCTAAATTTTAAGAGAGAAGGAATGCACTGATGGTCGTGGCTTTTTTTCTTCTATAAATCAATAGAGCTGGATAATTATAAAAAGAAAAAACTAATTTTCAGCATTCAAAATTAGTACATCAAAACATGCTATAAGAAAATTATAATGTGTAATAATGAATAATAATAAATGGACCACCTTCGGCTAATCTTGTCTTTCTCTTTTTCGCAAAAAATCAAAACTTGAATCAATTAGAAAGAAAAAATGTTGGATATCTTCTTATCTCTGGTTCAATTCTATAATCAATCTTCATATTTTCGGCATAATTTCCTCACTTCTTTCCTTTTTTTCTTCTTCTTTATAATGTCTTGTAATACTAACCCAAAAGGTTGCTGTCTTTTTCTTCGCTTTGCATCAATGTTTTGGGGAGAATTTTCTGTATCTTTTCTTGAATTCAGTGTGTGTTGGTGTAATATTGATGATGCGCTTGGGAGAGAGATGAATTTAGAAGCACTTCCTGTGGACAATGGATGGGCCAGACTCATCGTACTCCTGCTTGGAGATCCACATCTGCTGGAATGTGGAGAGCGAGGCCAAGATGGAGCCGCCGATCCAGACGGAGTACTTGCGCTCTGGCGGGGCGATGATCTTGATCTTCATGGTGGATGGAGCCAGGGCGGTGATCTCCTTCTGCATGCGGTCAGCAATGCCAGGATACATGGTGGTGCCGCCAGACAGCACAGTGTTGGCATACAGGTCCTTCCTGATGTCCACATCGCACTTCATGATGGAATTGTACGTGGTCTCGTGGATGCCGCACGCCTCCATGCCCAGGAATGAGGGCTGGAAGAGAGCCTCAGGGCACCTGAATCGCTCATTGCCAATGGTGATGACCTGGCCGTCGGGCAGTTCGTAGCTCTTCTCCAGCGAGGACGAGCTGGCGGCTGTGGCCATCTCCTGCTCGAAGTCCAGAGCGACGTAGCACAGCTTCTCCTTGATGTCACGCACAATCTCGCGCTCGGCCGTCGTGGTGAAGGAGTAGCCGCGCTCCGTGAGGATCTTCATAAGGTAGTCAGTCAAGTCACGGCCCGCCAGATCGAGACGCAGGATGGCGTGCGGCAGGGCGTAGCCCTCGTAGATGGGGACAGTGTGGGAGACACCGTCGCCAGAGTCCAGCACGATACCAGTGGTACGACCGGAGGCGTACAGTGAGAGCACAGCCTGGATGGCCACGTACATAGCTGGTGTGTTGAACGTCTCGAACATGATCTGAGTCATCTTCTCTCTGTTGGCCTTTGGATTCAGTGGTGCCTCCGTGAGCAGCACCGGGTGCTCCTCGGGAGCCACACGCAGCTCATTGTAGAACGTGTGATGCCAGATTTTCTCCATGTCGTCCCAGTTTGTGACGATACCGTGCTCAATGGGATACTTCAGGGTGAGAATACCTGCAACGAACCGAACGCATCCCTCAGTCTCCGTCCGCACTTCACACCCCCTTAGCGACGCTGTGCCTTACCTCGTTTGCTCTGAGCCTCATCGCCCACGTAGGAGTCCTTCTGGCCCATGCCCACCATCACACCCTGATGCCTCGGGCGGCCCACGATGGATGGGAATACGGCACGGGGAGCATCGTCGCCGGCGAAGCCAGCCTTGCACATTCCGGATCCATTGTCAACAACGAGCGCAGCAACTTCTTCGTCACACATTTTGATTTCTGCGGAGGAAAAACAGCCAGAGATGAGAATCCAATTAGAGAGATTTTGCTCAGTCAACCGGTACACTCGACCGTTACGGCATTCAAATGTGAAGGGGAAATGAGAAACCGGTTGAGCAGTGCGCAGGCGTCGCTCGCCTTCTCGCTCTCGCGTTCGACACTCGCCCAGCGAGTGAGTGAGATGGGGCGTGTTAAAAGGTGGTTTGCCGGCGTCATGGAATTCACGGTCTTGAGGAAAAGTGCATGAAAATTGCAGAAAAACCCCAGCAATTCACGACACCACGATTGGGAAGTCTGCAAGTGGCATCCTCCTATTGGTCGCCCATCAGCGGAAGCTTGAAAATCACGGTGATTCGGGGCAAAAGTGGGCCAACGCCCAAACTCCGCGGAATACCACGCGATGGAGCGCACTTTTCACACGGAAAATCGTCAGGCACGTACCTGGTGTTGTTGGTTAATCAGCACAAGAGAGTCACTAAAGTGGATTTAACAAGACTTTTTTGTCCTTGCTTGAGGAAGTTAAACTGATAAATCAGGGCGTACTGCGATACACACTGCACGAGAGATGAGTGCCAAGTGACGCCACGATTTCAGTGTCGAGCTCCGCTAAGGCCAAATTTGTATGAATAGTCATCCCCACCACTCGCTTGCCGACCAACCACGTCACTTTACCATATATGGAGATGTTGAAAATCGAGCGGAGAATTCTTTCTCCATGACACACTCACACAGACGCACAGGGACGTAGCGGGCAGTTAAAGGGATTCCCAGAAAAGCTACTTCGGCCATCCGACGCCGTCACCTTCGCGAGGTCCCAAGAATCACTAATGCGGTCAGGTGTGTGTGTGTGTGCAATATCCTTTTCGCCCTCCCAAATCTTAATCCACCGGGTTTTTTTTTCTGTCACACACCGTCTTTTGCACACTCTCAACATCATGTTTTGTGTCAAGTCACTTTGCCTCAATGATACTTACATTGATTTTTTGGTGTAATAAAAGGAAGTCCTAAATTAATTTAATTATAAACACTAAGGTTAATCCTATTTGGTAGGAGCGGCTCTTTCCACAAGAGAGAGATGTGAATCGGCGAGATAAACCGTGAATTGGCTGAACACACTTTGCTCTATGATGTTCACAGCACGAGAACGCGAACGTTTGTGATAGAAAATTCAAACCATATTGCGTATATAAATGGATCCCCACTCGTGGAGTTGATGGGGCTCAGGCCAATCGTCGACATTTGCCCATATATGGAATTATGGATGCAACATGGATTGTGTGGTGGCCGTCGTGTAATCAAGAGACGTGCACACACACGCGCGCAGAGATGGCGAGGCGCGCTTCTGCCCGCGATAAACAGTAAATTCACTTCGTGTACCACAGCAATTGTCCCGACCTTTATTTGATCACTCCACACTCGCGGTATGTGTCCAAAAGCAGCGCCTTCGCTGCCAAAAGGGCATATCGGCGGAGTAATCGAGTGGAGAGATTCAAGACGCCGTTCGCCTTATCACGGGGCGCGATAAGGCGCAGGAATGTGCCGGTCTTATGATCCAAATTTCGAAGGTTCCCCGCCTTATCGGGTGTGAATCAAGATTTCAGCACATTCCCTGCCGCATTTTCACACTGTCACACTGAGCTCTGCAGTAATGTGGGCTTCTTGGAAACAGGCCGACACTGGCCACCATTACAAGTGCTGATTTATGGGAGTATTCATTTAAGGAGGAAAAAAATGAGATCACTTTTGCCACACTGGAAATTCGCACACATTTCTGGCCCAGTGTGAGATGAAATTCGGAACGTGTGTAAGCAAATTCATGGTCAAGTCAATTTATTTTAAGTGGTCCAGAGGCCAAGAAGAGGTTCATGGCTCTCTGAGGGACTTCCTAAGTCAGCATCTAAGTGTCATATCGCATTGCGATGAGGTTGCGGCTCAGTTTGCTCAGTTGATCACACTATCATGTTTGGGAAACGGGAAATAAAACCAATAATAATGAGTGGCTGAAGCGAGGAAGAAGAGATCCTTCGACTTCACACTCTGAGCGAAAAACTGCCAATTTTTGAGCAAATAAGACATTTATTAGAGCTCATTTAAGGCTTTAAAGCCGATTCTAGGTGTAAATATGGCTTTTGAAAATCTGTGCTCAAGACTTTGTGCTCAGTTAAACGTAGTGGGATAACTGCCTAAGCATCAGACTCGATTTTTGAGCATGTTTATGATGTCAATAGCAGCCATCATTACTTCACAATCCTCCGGATGAGTTCGATTCACACATAAATCTATGCAAATCTGGATGATTTTCAATGTCCGGTTACATTAATGAAATCCGATGCTAAAACAAAGTATCAATTACACGAATTAAGCAGAACTCTGCAGTCCAGACAGTGAATCTAAATTTTTTTTTCATGTTCCAATTGGCAATTTTTTTTTCCACAAAATTTGCAATGCAATTAGAAATGTGAGGTGAGGAAAAAAAGCACACAATTACGGTGTTTGTGTGAATTTGTGTAGAGTTGGTCAAGAGTTGCTCTTGATGGCTTCCGAAAGATGTCTTGGGCAAAAAGAGAAAAGGCATTTGAAATGCAAAAGAGTCACAGAGAGTTGACTTTCCAAGTTAGATTTTGAAGATCACTCTATTTTTCCTCCTCTCTGAGCGCCAGAGAAGATCTCACACATCAAGATCACGCCATGGCTGGAGAGGATCGTCGAAATTTCTGGCGAGTCGGGGTAAATGATTTTTGCGAAGATCTGGCGGAACCGGTTGAATAGCTGGTTTTCTGCATCTTTTCGCGATGGTGCTTTAACACATCAGTCTTTTGGCCAAGAAGATCGCATTTGTGTAGCCACACACTTGGCGAAATTGTCCGTGAAAGAGAAGAAGAGGAGCGCGAAACCCACGTAAGACATTCTAGAGTGTAACAATTAGCATTAAACGTTGCTTTTTTTCCTCTCCTTCGACATTATGTCATACTTGCGAATTTGGGAAAAACAGCAATGCCATAAAAAAAGCAAGAAATCTTATCACGACAGCAAAAACTTGTCATGGTTTTTTTGGGGGCTTCATTCTGGATTTGGTGGTGTGCTTGTGATCTCCGTGGCTGTCGAACATGTACCATTAACAGATACGATGATAAGGAGTGTGTTGCACAATGTTCTCAACTCTCTCATGCGTGCGAATTGAAGGATCGCGGCAATAAAGAAGTTGTGCGATTGTGATGGAAAAAAGCACCATATTAGGGCAGAATTGGACAGTCGATTGATTGGGGCATCAATTGGATTTCAATTAGTTAATTATATGGCGCGCGATTTTGAGAGAATCACACACACAGACGCAAAATCTTTATTACCTTTTAGAGAGACTATTGAACTTGTTATTACCATTTATGTTAATCAAAACCAATTGTTGAAGTTTACGCCCGTTTCTTTTTACTTCTCTCACATTCATTTTGACGCTTGATGATGTTTGGGATTTTAATTGTGACTCTTCACGCACCTCAGCGGAAGTGTTTTATGTCGATCTCCAACGCTGAAATGCGTCAGATCCTCACCAGAGGATTTGTTTGTTATCACAAAGTGCGATAAGACAACATGACGAGGAGGAAAAGATCGCCAGATTTATGAGTCGCCTTCAATTTCATTGCTAATCCAGTTGGAGATTTCTGTTTGTGTCACTTTAATCTCCTTTGCTTACTGGATTTTTTGCATTCTTTCCGGAGAGAGAGAGAGATTCACTTTTCTTCCATATATTATACAAAATTTTCCATTAAATATTTACTATTTATCTAATGCGAAGCTGAGTTTACGTAAATTACATTCGCATATTTACCAGCTATGAAAACATAGACAAAATTAAAGCTCGTTCAAACAAAACTTATCTAAATTGTTTTGCCTATTAAGGCTTTTGCATTTCTCGAAATTCAAGCTGATATCTTGTGTTGTTTCGCACACAGTCAATCTTATCGTTCTTGTTTAAGACGAGAAATAAATAGAATTTCCGTGTGATTTGCTTATTAATCAATAGTCACAAATGAATCATACTTCCTGTTTCGCATACCATTCTTTCTCTTGTTGTGTATTTCGGCGAGTGTTTTCAGCAACACTTGTGCCTCATGACATTTTTTTTTCTTTGCAAATGAAATTGTGCAAGTTCTGCAGGAAAGGCGCACAGCACAGCTGAATCACGAGGAACAAGTTGTAAAGCCACATGCGGACCACAAAAAGCCGAGCATTCTTGAAGAATTTCCACCGTGTCTGACGAGGGAATCCATAAAATCACTCAATGGTGAAATTTACCGTAAATTGCTCGTTGAAATTTGATCAATTTTCGAGAGAAATCTCCGAAGGGAGTTGGTAAAAGAGTCTCGGCAGTTCTCATTAGAGTTCCTCATTCATATTAAACAAGACAACCGTTCAAATGTGAGCGCCAGTGAGGCTTTGCTTAGCATTGAAGCCAGAATGCCCAAACCGTAAGCACGAAAAATCATTAATTTATTCACAAGCTGATATGATGATGCGGGGAAAATCAATAGTTGAGTGAGTCATCGGATTCTGAGCGAATTTACGAGACACTCCGGCCAGGGATGAGGAGTGATTCATTGGGTTTCTTGTGAAAACACGCACAAGGGATTGCCAAATGGTCGCCTCTTGCGCCAGGACGACGAAGGGTCCTTAAATCCAGTCGAATTAATTCACATGAAACTCTGCACCACGTCTAGCCGGCGTGCACGAGGGTGGTCAATTGATTTTCCCATCGAAGTAGGGCCGTTCGTGTGTATTTGGGTCTCACCCTGAGACTGCGCATGCAACCCCACCCCCAGCCAGAGGGGTTGCTGTGCGAAGCACACAGACACAGAGAGCGTCTGGAGTTCACTTGCTGCAGTTCTCGTCCATTGAGCTCAGAGACACACTCACCCACTCCCTGCGGAGGAGTCCCGCATCCCAGCGACACTATCGCGCTGTCTGGGTCGTCTTGAGGTGGGTTATCGACGAGACATGCACATGAATTCCAGCCATGCTGCATTGTCTCGGTCGCAATTACTCTTCGCGAGCTTTGAGCACAATTTCAGCCAAAAGCATTGCATATTGCGTGGATTAAACACGTTAAAATTGAAAAGATATTCGTCACATATTTGCCAGGACTCAACGATGACAGCCAATGCAATGCATTTTCTGATTCATAAGTCGCGTAATATGCAAATTCTTATGAGTCACGCTTCACACCTTGTCAACACAGGGAATTCTTGAAAATTTTATGGTTGTCTAATAGTTCTTCTATTCATTCAAACTCAACTCATGATCCGTATGAAGATCAACTTCAATATTCAGAGATCATTGAAGATTTTTCAGCACAATCTACGTGCTTTTGCTTGCTTGGATACGAATTTCCTGCAATTTTCAATTGCTTTCAACACAATTTTGGAGGAAAATAGTTAAAATCGACAGTCTGAGGACTAATTAGTTAAATTTTTTTGGTACTAAACACTTCAATGTATAGTGAAACAACTTCCTCAGAAAGATCACAAGCATGTGCTATTTTACAGAAATATGCTCTTCAATTAAATTCAGTGAAGATTTTTCGAAGTTTTCCTCTGAAATCCAGGGCAATTCCATAATATTTCAGTGCAATTCCAAAAATGTTCGCTATTCTCTTCAGCTCACTAACTTTAATTGATTGCCTATCGGCGATGAGTAGTTTTTGGGCGATCAGAGCGAACCTTCCAGCTCGCGTCGTGACAATAGTTTATGCCATTCGGACCACAAATAAATATTTGAGTCTCTTTTGGCGTTGCGAAAGAGTGTAGGATGCGCCTCCCATTCGTTGCCATTCTCCAACGCATTTTCCCGCCACTCTGGCCGCCATGGAGTGCGTAATTGGAAATCGGTTGAATTTCTATAACTATTCTTTCTACTAATTTGGTGTGCAGCATTTCGTTACACTTTATTGCGGTTGCTTATTGATTTAATTACACTTATTGCTCTTTTTTTCCTCTCCATGCCAAAGCCACCCATCTCGCCGTTGTTCCTCCTTCACAAGTCAGCGCGGCGGTGTGCGAAGAGAGGCCATCCGCTGAGACGAGGCGAAAATTGAAAGTTGAATGCCAATTATTTCTATATTTTGCTTTTTATGGGCGCGTGTTGAGTCAAGATTTCCTCCAGATTGGTGAAGAATCTCGGGGCATCTGAGGGAGATTTATTGTATGGAAATCTGTCTCTGCGCAGAGAGATCATTTGCCTTTGATTAGGCTGTGGAATGCGCGCGCGCGATCGTGAGTGAAGTGCGCGCCCACGCGAGGCGCCTGGAAATTCACGGGCAGTTTGGGAAAGGTAGCAAACATCGCGCCCAGAGTCACAATATAACCATTTTAACCATTTTTGAGCACGCACTGGAGATCATCGAGATGATCATCATTGGGAAAAATAGCAATTTCACTCGACACCCTCATTTTACCTAATCACTTCGTGTTTGTCTCTCACTCTGTTGCCCGCGAGACGCGCCTCGCGCTGCCTTCGCTGTAACAGATACACATATTTTCAATTAATTGCTCGCCTTTTCACGTGTTTTACGCGCCCAAAACAACAAACGCAGAGAAATTGCAATGGGAGCCCAAAACACTCATCAAAAAGCCGTTTACATTTGGTCGATTGTTCCTCTCGCGCCATGAAGTCGTTGGGATGGGCTTTGGTCACTTGTAATACAATAATTCCATTTATCTGCACATCATGAGAAAGAGAGAGAGACTTGGTGAAAATTAAGTGAATTGGTCCAGAGTGCCTCAATTGTGGCACAGACCAAATAGCCGGTCATCGCGCGCCTCAGCAACACTCGTGGCAATATTTATAAACCCGCGCGTGTTTGCATTAATTGGTAAAAATTTGTATTGAACAACACAAAACTGATTTGCCCACATTTTATCTGTTGCACCGCCGCACAAACATTGGTTTTGTCGATGCGTTTTAGCAAACTGGGTGAAATGCCTGGCGGCAATTCCCTTTGAACACACTTCGAACACCATTCTGCAGACAGGCGATATTTTATTGGGAGATTGCACTATTAGGTTATGCAGATATTTACACATTTTTATCGATCATTTAATTATTTGTGAGAGGAAATCTCGCTAAACATGCTTCAGTGGAGAAGTACACATTTTCCTGACCACTGTAAACTCATCATGATTTTCATGCAATGCTAGAAAAATTAGAGCAGACGGATCAGTTTCGATCGCTGACTTCGGAAACAAAGTAGCTATGCAGTGTCATAGATAGACTCATGAATATTCTGTTGCTGCCAACTATACCATAAATTCATTTCCTGGCAGAAAGAAAATCCTCACATATTTTGCATGATCCTTTTTGGCCAACGCTCTCGAGTGTGAATATACAATTATTGTCTCGACTGTATCGCCGTACAGTTCTTTACATTTCTTCAAATTTATTCTTCTTTCACTCGTCTAACGTGTCTTCATTTTTTACTGGCTTTCCATCATCTCTGTGGCACAGCATTTGGATTAAAATGCGCGTCTTTCACTGCTGTGTGTGGATCAATTCGCTGGGGCATTAGAATGGTCGTTGGAGCTGTGTGTGACCCAATAAAGTGACGAGACTTTCGTGATTTCCACTGTGTGTTTGGCTGTAAATAGACACGCAGTGAGTGAAAATGTCCATATTAAATGTGGAATTGTCTCTCTCGTTGATTAAAGTGTGTGTGAGTGTGGATTTTTTCGTTGTCTCAGCGTGTCTCACTGAAAAAGAGACTGCGCGCAGAGTGTGCATTTCACACGATTACCATAAATGCACACACATTATTTATTTATTATTGAAAATTGTGTGGCACAGCCGAGATGAATGGTAAAACAGCATCTCCCATGTCAGTCAACTTTTTCAAGACCAAAAAAGACTCTCTTCTGCATGTGGAAACACGGTATCCGTTCGCTCAATTTAAATTGATACACGCGCGCTGTGTGTTGTTGGCTTATTTAGGTGCGACTACAGACAGTGTGGCGACTCTCGCGGGGGTTCCAGCTGCTGATGCATCGCATCGGGTTGTCGTGATTAAGCATTTACGGTCAAAAATTGCCAAAACTGTCACTGAATGTTGGCTTGGGACACGAATTTTTTCTCTCTTCTCTCCAGCAGCTCCAAAACCTGAGATGCTTCAACTTTCTTTGCACTCCATTGTAAATTTATGCCTATTTAAGGTGCAAGGCTGTTTATCACTCGGCACATTTTGTCCACTTTAAGTGGCTTCTGTTGCATTTTTTCAATCCACACAGGGTCGGTCGTGAAGATTTCCTTTCGTCTGCATCAGAAATGTGATCAAGATTCTAATATGTTCTGCTTGAGGCCTCACTTGATTTTCACTTTTGACGCACATCTCAGACTCCCTCGGGCATGATTTTTCCATGAATGGGCAAAAGAAGAGAGGTGGGAAATTGCAAGAAGGCAGGCACACTAATTAATCCCACACTTAATTTGATTTATGTAACAAAACAGCATCAAAGTGCAAATTAAATTGAATTGATTCGGATGAATCTATATCTTGGGATGCATACAAATTGCAAATGGGTGTTTGCGCACGCATTCAATTGAGTGAATATGGCAGAGCGCGTGTGGGAGGAGAGACCCTGTTGGGTGATTTTTCTTCATATGGCCATGTCTGTCTCCCAGTCGTGGATTTCATTGAGCGAAGCCGAGTCTTTTTTTTTGCCTCTCCGATCGCGCCGTACAAGAGCGCAGAGGAGGAAAAAAAATGGTTAAAGACTTGTTAGCGTAGCGGCCAATATTGATGAGAATTTTGAGTATGATTGTGAGACGCGGGCGTGGAGAATTCCCGATAAAAATGCACACAAGCAGTGGTTTTTTTTTGAGCAAACATAAATTTTCGTGTCTAGAAGTAATGTTCATCTTTCACTATATCGCCGCTAATTGGTGCTTAATTGATGGAATTGGGCCAGAAGATGTTGGGTGATCTGATAAGTCATTAAATCTTTCACGTCCTCATCATCTCGGTGAGCACTTTTGCACGTAATGTACTCCGTCCACCTGAAACACAAGAAGAGAAAATTGCTCAGTTTCATACCCATCATATCGTCTCGGACTTCTTCTTCCATCGCCTAAACAACTGATACGCCAATGAAAAAAAAAACATTACTTATCATTCATTTAGCACCCACAATTAATTAGGCAATAGAATTAATTTGCCACATAAAGTCTCTGGAGAATTTTGAGCTACAATTTAATGTGATAAGTTCTCTCTGTGTGCAAAATAGACACACATAAAATCTCCCTCTTTCTCCAACACTTTGCAACCATAGAGAGGAAATTGCAAATGAATATACATATTTGCAGACTCTAGCCTCTTTTTTGCCATGCCTGAATTTTCAGCTTCGCAGAAAACTCACAATGCAATGCTTCACGGCGCCGTGGCGTCAAGATCCATAGTGGTAAATTGAGATCTCTACGGATGATGGTGAAAAACCATCCGAAAAATTTCTGTGATCTTCACAAATGCAGCACTTTCCCAATCACGAGAGCACTGCAAATTTTTTTTCTAGAAGAACTCCTATCTCTTCTGCATCTATTAGAGAGTTGTTTCACTTGCAACTTCTTCCACTTGGGCAAGACAAAAAACATTATTATTAATTGGGATTGTAAAAGGACAGCGTTTTATGCTCGAGTGCTCGTTTCTATAAAAGGTTCGTCTCTCTTTATCCACTCTTAGGGACTTATCAGATGGTTTGCACTCCAATCCGATGGAATTTGCACCAACGGAGAAAACTGTTCTCCAAATTCTCATTACGAGCTTCTCTGCTCTTGTCACTGAATCCTGATTATCACGACAATCGAGATCCCTCGTGATGCTTCCGAGTGGAATTTTTATACGCCAGAAATTTATGAAGCTCTCATAAATTCATGTTTTAATCAAGTGCTGTGATTTATAAGTGAATTTGAAAAAAACTGGCTTTTTGAAAGTGTCGTGAAGATCAGAAACAAGTGCGAGTTTTCACCGAACTCAATACGAATGAGTGGTTAATTAAAAAAATGAATTAGAAATCACAAATCAAACACAATTTTTTTCATACAAATGAGTCAAAAATCATTGTTTACAACTGAGAATTCCACCGGAAGAAAGATTTTCCGACAATTAGTTCAATTTTGAGGGGATCACAGAAAAAAGTCTCGCGCTCGGCAGTGCCTGAACGCGCGAAAGAAGTGAATATGCGCGAGTTGAGTGTATCATGGTATCGGCGGTGTGTTGTTACATGCCACAGCAATGCGATATATGGAGCGAAAAGATCTCAAAAACTATTAATTCTATAAAAGGCTGCTGACCTCCATATTCTAGCCATGTAAAACTCACTCAGTTTCTGCGTAAATATTTCATCTTTTTGTGTTACAACACATTAAACATTTTCATTGGTATTTCTCTCTCACGCACGCGGTGGCATCTTTTGTGGCCTGTGTGACTTTTCCCCGCGCCACTCTGTGCTGCATTCCCAGGCCCAATTTTCGGCCAACTCCCAATCGCATCGACACTTTCTCTATAAAAGGGCATTTTCTTTTGCGCGTCACGCACGGATTTGCAGGCATTGCGACTGTTTTTTTTTTATCCGAAGCGGCGCCATAAATAGATGAAAAATCAATCCGCCTGAATGATCTTTCTCAATCATCTCATTCACTGGCCCACCATTCGCGTCAATGGTCTCTATTCACACGAGATTAATATGATCTCTCTGTACTCCAGTGCATTTGCGTTTTCTCAGCTCCGCCACCAAAAGACGCCCAACAATGAACACAAACAATATCACTTGGCGAACAGAGAGAAAAATGGCATGAAATTGAGGAGGAAGAGTCTCTCTGGCACTTTCTTCTCCATTGCGATCTTCTTTCTCTCCACACTCATGTTTCGCCGCACATTTTCTTCAACTGATTTCCTCTGCAGTTTTCCCTCCCGAAGAGAGACTCCGTGAAGAAAAGGCGGCGCGCAGAAAAAGTGCTCCTTCTGAGCAATTAATTAATATAATTGCTTGTAGCGTTAATTCTTACGCGCCACATAATTAATGTCTATCGATTTGGAAAACCACTTCGTCCGGAAGCTGAATCACAGGCACTCCATAAATGTTTTCCCTCCTCCAATACTGAGAAATGTCTGTGTGTACAATTCTCACTCTTCGCTCAATACCATTCTCGGTGTCAACTTTAGTGCGGCGATGATTCACACACCGAATAATTCCACGATCGTGCTCATTATCACTTGAGTTTTGCACGATAAAAGGCACATTTCATTCCAACTAAAGATGTGTTGATTCAAATTGAAACATTTAGCGACGAGTGCGGAGAAAAGTCATGCAAAACATACACACTATCATAACTCAAACAGTCCTCCAAGTGTTCTCTCCTCATTCGCCTTGACACTCCAAATTAAACCACTGACGGAGGCATTCATTCAATTCTTCAGAATCACTTGTTATGATTTTTTCCATGTCACTTATTTTCTCATTGACAGAGGCTCAGCATTTATTTGCTTCGCGTACAACTTTGCGAGAAATTTGATGTTTAATTTGTGTAAATCTAGGAAAAGAACTTCAAATAGAGTCCCAGCTCAAGGGCTTAATGTCCTTCAGGATCCTACATTTAAAGGACCCTATTTTGAAAATTAAAAAGATAATAACTCCGGTTATAATTGTCTGATCAGAACAATTTTGGGTTCATTAGAAAGGTCTGATAAAATGTCATCTTCCACTTAAACATCATAACTTGATACAACCACCGCTAGGGGCGTTAAAATAGTAAACTATTTTCGAAACTTTAAGGTTGTTTAACTCGAGAACGAGATAATGGATTTTCTTTAAATTTTAGTATGTTCTAGCTTATGTCAAGACCTTTCCAACGAACCGCTATTTATGGGGCCTGATGTTTTCAGAGCGGAGATATGGAAGGTCAAAGTTCACACATTTACCGGCTTATATCGCTGCTGTTTACCAACCGATTTCGATCATCTCTTCACCAAAAGACGTGTCTCGACGCTTTTTAGTAGGTCACATTCACTATTAACCTATTACGTCATTAGAAACGCCGCCATATTTATTTAACTTTGAACGCCTGTATTTCAGCAAATTTATTATGCATTTTAATAAGATTTTAGTATGTTGTAGTCCAGGTTAGGATATTTCTTAAAACATGTCATAAACTCCATATGGAAATAATTAAACTGGAGATATGGCGGTTAATAAACTAGATTTTTCTTCAAATCTAATTTGCAACAGTTTCAGTTCGTCTCCGTTCAGTTCACTTTTTCTGCAAAAGCCGCATGATAACACGTTTTATCAGACGCACACTCATTTCCTGAATTTGCAATTTTTCTTGCTATAATTTCTACCAAATGACTCATAAATTTCTTGAGATAAAAAAATTTCAAAGTCACAGACAGAAAAATCGCGACGACAGATGGTTTAAACATGACAAGAAAGCAATAATCAAATTCCACGAGCCACAGATTGAAAAATTAGCATGAGAAAGATAAGACGCAATGTTATTATTTAAATGGATATTCATGAGAGGAAAAGTTATCACTCGTAAAATCCCGTGATTTGCCCTCATCATCATTGACCTCTAATTAATTCACTCACATCAATACTAACCTGTCCATATTGCACACGAAGAAACATACATTAGAGGTCAATATGCTGGACGGGCTTTTGTCTCTGCCCATATGAACATCTTCCGCATGAGTGAAAGGTCTTCCACGTGTGGCTCTTGCTTTCGTTTGTCATAAACACTGAATTTATCAGTGGAAAATTTCACTATCATTCAAAAGAAAACGTGGAGAGTTTTGCCAAACAGGCAGAATTATAATAAAACAATGATTTGTAGTCTTTGCCTTTGAGATTCTCTTGAAATGCAAAAGAGCTTCATTGTGAATTCATAGAAGAAGATATGATTGATGGGATTCAATGCTCTCTTTTTTTTTGCTTTCAATGAGGCGCCAAGGGCAAAATTGAGGCTGTGAGTGTGCATTTCCTCTCGACAAATCCACTCTCATGTGATGCTGATTGTTTGCGCCCTCAAAAGGAACACCCGAATCATATCACACGCTCTGAACAAAGTGTATCGCAAGCGCGAGGGAGAGAAGTCAAAGTCACGATCTTCACCTTGAATAGCTCGAGAAGCTCAATTGCTTCCTATAACGAATTTTTAAAGTTCACTGACATAATTTTGCGCATGTAACCGCTTTCGTGTGTTTCAAACATGTTCAACAGCACCGCATATTCGATCATCGCGCAGTGTTGATCGGAAAAAAGTGGGCAACATTCAAGCATTACTATACAATGAGAAATGTTATGGAGGAAAAGAGAGAAACACATCCGAATGTGAAGATTGATCAGATAATTGGTTCTGCTCAATAAGCCAAACCGACACCGTTTGTCCTGCGCACACAGAGTGATTTTCTTTAAAACATCACCTCTATTTAATGCTTTCGACTCACTTTTTCTCTCATGCCTTCTACCAATCTGGCGTGCCACTGCGTCCCATGCCCTTCAAGTGCTTCCTAATCTCCACTCTGAGCCACGACGGTTTGTTCTTGATGGAGTGCGCCATAGGGAAGCGAAGAGGTGGTTTAGGACCGTCAAATGGGTGAGTCTTGGACAGTTTTCGCTCCAGGAACTCCTTGTTGATCTGCATCGGATCTCTGTACAAATCCATGTACGTGTTGAAGGCCCTTTTGAGCGGGAACCACTTCTGAGGCCCCAAATAGGGAGCTTGCTGGACATATTCAAACACTGGCAGAGATGAATCTGCGCAGAGAATAAACACCTTTAGTGGTCTGAGCATGAAATGTTTCCAAACCAAGTAATCTTACCGAACTTCTTGTGAAAAACTTCCCTCACAGAATCATCGTATTCTGCCTGGAAGAATGCCAATCCAGCTGGTGTTATTGTGTCCTGGAGTTTTCGGTAGAAATCCAGGGTCTTGAAGGTTCTTTCGTCAGGATTTTTCGTCTCCTGAGGTCTCTTGTAGTCTTTGAGGTCCAGTTTGTTGTTCTGCTTGTACAGGACAAAAACGTATCGCTGATACCCAAGACCCTTGACTGGAAAAGGCTGCAGATATGGCACAATCAAGTCCCCTTTCGCCACATCTCCATTGGGAATATTGGTGACGAGCCAGTGAACATATTCACTGCTCGAATCACTCAAATGTCCATCTGGTGTTGTCATAATCAGCGTCCAGAGATTCTCCTTGTCCTTCTCCTTTGGCAGTCTGAATTGATGATCAAACTCAACGATGGGCTGCTCCACAGCATCCTCCGGACTCAGGATGTTGCCGTAATACACTGGATTGCAATCGTCTGTGCTTGTTGGGTACAACACTCGAAGATGCACGCGAGGAATGAAGTACGCATCCCCAAACAGATGATCAAAGATCTCATAGTAGTCAGCAATGCCACGAACATCAAAGGGACCGGATGTCTTCATCCACTCCTGGCTCACATTCTCAAGATCAACTTCCAGTTCATTGTGTCGAGCGAGTTTCTCAATCTCTGGGTTGTTCTTCATCATCTTCCTGTGCTGCAAGCGCTCGGAGAGTTGATCGGATCGGGATGCTTTCAACTGTGGCAGACCGATGTTTATCTTCCTGGCCAGCTCCGGATCGACATAATTCATTTCTGGAGGATGAAATCACAACAATGTCATAACCTCAATCTATCGTGCCGTGCAATTTCTCACCATCCAGGCGTTGTTGAAGACTCCTCGCCACTCCTGGCCGCTTGCCGCGAATTGTGTGTCCATGCCGAATGGGTATTTGCACAATTTTGTGGCTCTCCCGTGCAATAAAAGAGCGATAAAGGAGATTTCCCAGCATTTTGCACTCCTTTTCACTTGACGTGCGGTACACTGAGAAAAATAATCTCATTTTCGAACTTCGAAAAGCTTCGCCGTCCAGTCCGCAGACATGTCTGGTGAAAATCCAAGGCGCGAACTGCGCCATAAATTCAAATGTTGCCCAACGGAAAGACCCACATTGTTTGCATAGTGTTGCACTTTATTTTCACAAAAAAAGAGGAATGATATCAGAAGACTTTGTATCTCACAATTCTAGACTAAAACATGAACACACACGCGCATTGTGAAATACCGCCAGTGTGTCGAAGAGAAAACAGAGGAGATAAACAGTATTTAAGTAACATTATTGATCAATTCATCCTGTGAATCACTGTCTTACAGCTTCTTCGTCCCGCCCATATCGATGGTGAGATCCTGGAGGCTGCCTTTGTACGGCGAGAGAAGAGATTTTCTCTCTGGGTCCTTGCTTTTCCTCGCCTTTGGCCGATTCATCTTGCCATACCTGCAGAAGAAGGTCGACATTAATTCCATCTTAATGGCCCTGCTTGGCATGCAAAAACTCACCTGTTGACCACACCATCGATCTCATCCATCATGCGAAGGATGGTCGTTTGGTCGGACGAGTCAATTGGGGCGATCGAAATGTCCCGCACGGCTCTGAACTTGCCGCAATTGTTCAGGTGTTCATTCTCCAGTCGGAAGAAGTTCCAGACGAAGCGCCTGAACACCTCCAGAGGAGCCGTGATCGAAGTCATCACTTCTCCGGACACAATCCTCGCCTCGCCGAGCACAAAGGCGGCCACCCAGGAGAATCGCAACACCAGATCCTCAACAATGGCGAAGTAGTAGAAAGACGTGGACGAGTAGACGATCTCCTCGCGCAGGAAGCGATTCTCACCTGCGTTCTTGTCGAAAAGGCCCCAATCCATCTTGATGTCCCACAAATAGGCGTACACTGAGGACACCGTGGCGCTGAGCAGCCACAGGATCACGTAGGGATTCTCGAAGGTGCTCTCGTACTCGGACGCATGGCGACTCTTGAGCGTGGCGAAGATCACCACGAGGAATGTGGTGGAGTACTTGCCGGCGTTCACGAGATGCGGGAAGGCCTCGCGGGAGTCGCGGTAGCGTCTAAGGCACTGTGCGAAGCGGAACCACGCCGGCAGGCAGTTGACGATCGGTCGCAAGATGTAGTCGCTGTCCATGTGATAGCGCGAATCCGCCGCCTCCAGCCAATTGCCGTTCGTGATGTAGAAGCAGATGAGAAACTGGAAGTCCAGCAGTGCGATGACGAGCGAGTTGAGCTGATCCGCCAGCCAGAAGTCGGCGAAGCCCACGTGGAAGAACGGCGCCGCCACCATGCGGCCGATCTTGCGCAGCAGCCAAAAGCGCGCCTCGGGACGGAAGATCTTGAAGGGATTGCAGAGGAAGATGAGCATGATGAGGGACAGCGCGAGGGGGTTCACGAAGGCGGGGATGCTGAGGCTGGGACTGTACAGGAAGCTGAGCATGCTGAGTGTCCACACCACGCCGAAGATCGCCGCCAGCTCCATGAGGTGCTGCTCTGACAGGTGGTTTCGCGGATCGAGCTCGAAGATGAGGACGTGATTGACGCCCGAAGAGCGCCAGCCGTAGATGTTGATGCCGATGAGGAAGAGGAACTCGATGAGCAGCAGCGGCCCGCGGTACAGCCGGAAGGCCACCTTCAGGCTGTCGCCCGCGGACTCGTGGAAGATGGCCGAGAGGACGACAGTGATGAATAATACTATGAAACCGCCCGAAAACAGGCCGACCTGCAATGAGAAAAACCCCGTGAATCACGCGAAAGAGTGCACGGGACGCGGCGCACCTTGAAGGTGATCCATGGGCTCTGCTGCTCCCCCAGCGGCGGCACCCGGAGGCGCTTCATGGCTCGCTGTCGGTCTCCGCCTTCGAGCTCGTGCGTGACCAGCGACTCTGTCTCGTTGATAATGCGATCGATGTCCTTGTTCGTGTAGAAGTGCGACGTCTCCACATGCTCCTGCCGCCACTTGGCGCCGCGATCCGTGGCGAGGAGCTTGTCGTGCTTCTTGAGGATCTTCCGGAAGCCCGTGTGATTGAGCTCGCAGAAGTTCTGCAGCAGAATCACACTCAGATAGAATTCACTGAAGGCCAGTCGCAACTCTTGCGCTTTCCGGTACGGAATATCTGTGTACTTGTTCATGGAAGACTTCTTGGACTTGCCCTTCTGGCTCTCCTCCTGGCATCGCTTCAGCTCCGTGGACAGCGCGGCGAACTTCCGCGTGGACTCGGCGAGCTTCTCCGAGAAGAATGTGTTGATCTTCTTCAGCTCCTGCTCGCAGTAGTGGAAGAAAGTCTCCTCAAAGTTGCTGTAGTGGCGCTTCCGGATGTCCTCCTCCACCGTCTCGGCGGACGGCGCCTCCTCCAGGGCTGTGTACAGCATCGCCTTCATCTCCTCGTAGCTGATGTACTGCTTCCGCCATTCTGGCGTGATGTGGGCGGACAAGTGCTCGGCGAACTTCATGCTGCCCCACTAGACAGGCGTGTCCGTGCGCGCCTGCAAAGTGTGCCCCCGGGGCAGAGAACAGAGAGTCTGTGACAGCGACGGTGCTGGCGCCAGGAACTGCCCACCACTGGAAGCCCACTCGGAGCCTCTGTCTAACCTAGAAACGCTCACGCACGCAAAACCCACTGAAACATCCTGAGATTCACGCTCTATCACACGCCACTTTGAGCACCATCAGTTGCTGATCACTTCCTTGGGGCCTCGGGAGCCGCGAGAAGGGGGGAAAAGGTCGCAAATTAAAAGATAAAAACGACAACAAAAATTTCCGTGAGAAAATAAAAGAGTCGAGATTTCAAACTGACAGCTGACCTGTCGTGAAGCATTGGCCACTTGTGGGCAATGAGATTCTCGCGTTGACCATTGGCATATTGCTTGGAAATTTTTAGAGTTCGGAACTCTAATTCCAGCTTACTTGTGAATGATCAGACACTGAAATACTCCAAAATCGGCTAAAAAGCGTTCATTAAGCGATATTTTGATGGAATATGACGAAAATAAAGACACTTTTTTCTTAAATAAAATCTCTCACAAATATTAAACTTTAAGCGCATTTCAGTACTGAATAGGAAAAGAATTTGCTTCTCAATTTTATGCAAAGCAGAAACGGCAACAATATTCGTGATTCTGAACGAGCGGCGCTGTGAAAAAATCCATCAGCTGATGGGAGTGTTTATGCGGAAATCCGCGAGGGGGTGCAGCTGATGATGCGGGCGCAAAAAATTGCGATTTCGCCAATAAAACAATTCACTTTATGTGTTGATTTGAAGTAGATAAAATACAATATGAAGTGAGTATTCCAGCCACATATTCGGTGGGTTTCCAGGTGAGCCACCAAGATATTTACCCACCTTCTTCACTTTTTGCCACGAATTCGGGGGGAAAACCGGTTGCTGCGGTGGACTTCCTGGGGATTTCCCACCAAAACCACACTCGGCGCTTAACCACACTTTCCTCCACTGGTCCGGAGATGTGCGCTCTTTTTGCCTGTCGCGGGGCAAATGAGAGTGGCAGAGGTGCTAATGATTGCTTTTATAGGCGCACTTTGTGTATCTGTAAGAATGTTTCTGGTGCTGACGATGCGCCACCATGTTTCGTGTGCTCTCTGGCCCTGATATCGCTAACCAAATTGGTGGAGAACAAATATTTAATGCAATTAGGCATTATCGCGGGCTTTTATTCCGCTCGCGCGGCGCAGTATTTACAGAGACAGTGGAAGAAGTGGACTTTGGCGGCACAGATTCACTCCTTGTCCTCATCCTGGCCGAAGAAGATGTGCTGATTGATCTTCTTCTTGATCTTCTCCCGGCCACGCTTGGGTTTCTCCACTTTCACCACTTTCTTAATCTTGGCATCTCTGTCGTCGGCGATCTTGCGCCAGTACAGCTCCTCTGCGTCTCCGGACAGGATGCTAGCCACTCTCTCTGGATCTGTGTAGCGCTTCACGAGATCCTCGGCGGATTCTGGCGTATCCACGCGAATGTAGGCCAATATTGAGCCCTCCTTCACGTCCACGTACTTCACAAATTCGTACTGTCGCAGCTCAGCCTTGAAGTCCTTCACATCCACGAGCGCCTCAGCCAGTTTCACCTCCACAATCACACCCTTCGTCATGGAGATTCCCGTGCTGGGCGCTGGCTTCGACTCTCCGTAGAAATTCATGCTTCCCGGCGACTTGGAGAGCGTCAAAGTGGGCGACTTGGCAACATTTCGATGCCCATTGAAGCCTTGCAGCGCGACTTTCGCCTCCTTGAATCTCTCGCGCTGCAGATTGAGGTATTTATTCCGCAGTCTCTTCCACTCCTTCTTCGTCATGATCTTCAGGTCAAAGATTGAGTCTCTCTCCGCCGAGGAGTTCTTCTTTGACTTGTGCCTCTTCCGCCGATGAGTCTTCCTCTCATCCGTCGCCACAGCGTCATCGGCTTTCTCCTCTTCTTGGGCACTTTCTGGCTCTGTGTCTTCCTTCTTTGTCTTCTCCTCCGCTTCGCACTGTTCCACTTTCAGTCTCTTGGCCGGCGGTTCACTTCTCTCCTCCTCGCCACTCTCCTCAGTCTCCTCGTCCGCCTTCAGCGCATCTTTGCCTTCTTCCTGGGGCTTCTCCTGCTGCTCCTGGTTGAACGACACGACACTCTGCAGCACCGCCGGATCCATTTCAGAGCTCAGCACTCCGCCGAACTTCTGGAAGGCCTTCAGAGTCTTCTCCACTGCGGAAGTGCCGTCAAACTCCACAAATCCAAACTGCTTGATCCTCTTTGTGGCCGAATACTTGGGCAGCGAAACATAAACCACACTTCCATAGCCTCCAAAGGTGGTCTTCATCCACTCATGATCAGCCTTGGCAGGCAATCCCTCCACGTAAATCGTACACTCGTCAGAGTTGATCTTCCAATTGATCTTTGTCCGTCTGCGCACCTTTTTCTCATCCTCAGACAACTGCAGCATCTGAGACTTCGCCAGCGCCTTTGCAATGTCCTTCGCGCACTCTGTCAGCTGCTTCATCCGGTTGAAGCTGAGAAAGATCTCGAGGGGAACATCTGCAAAGGCAAATCATTCAGGAAAAGCTACCGGGAAGAGGTAAATTATGGGAAAACTCACAAGGATCCTCGTTCACCAATTGTCCCAAAAAGCGGTCTTTCGTGATGTTAGCGTCGCTGAAGTAGAATTCCATTTGCTTCCGGATGTTATTGTACATCAACTTCTTTCGGGATCTCGCACGCTTCGTAGTGTTGGATTTCTCTTCCTCCATTGTCAGGAAAAACCACTATTTTCACCGGGAAAACGATTCTCATACACCACAAAACAAACGCATTCGATTTGACACTGAGAGATGTGAGCTGAAGCAAAATTTAACGGCGGGCGACGTAATTTCGAATTTCTTCCGCGCGTTCGAAAACTGGTGTGATTTTCGAATTTTTAGGCGCGAATGGAGATTTTCAAGCCAAGATCCTTGATTGAAGAGACATTTGTTCTGCTATTCAAAAAATATATATTTCTCTTGTTACAAATTAATTCACATTTTAATAACTTCGATTTATATTTAAAGTTAATGAGTAATTCAAAGCGACGACTCTAGAATTTGGTCAAATCATAGGAATTCGAGGGCTGTGTCTTCGCGGAGGTCCTTTGGACTCATTGAGGTGATGCCGCTGCAAAGCGCCTTGTTGCGCAAGTTGGTGTCATTCGACAGGAGAATGACGCGATTGCTCTTCTCCTTCATCTGCAGGCAGCAATTGATGATGGAGTCGTCGGCGGAGAAGGCGTGAATGAGGAGTTCATTCTCATGGACTGCACTCTGTCCCTTCACTTGCGGATGGCGCGCCTCGAGCTTCTCGTTGATGAACTTGATGGCTCTGACGCAGTGGATCTCTGTGGCGGCGGTGCGGTGCTTGATGTTGTCCAGCTCCTGAAGGACAATGTAGGGAATCAGGAGAATGGCGTGTCCAGCAGTCGCGAAGTGCATATTGATGATGTTCTCCAGAAAGATGAGGTTGTGGCAGAAGACATTTGTGTCTACAACGACATAAAATGATCTGCTCAAGTCTTTCCTCTCGCTCTTGACGCCCCGATCGGGAATCCTGGAGCTTTCGGGTTCCTTGTCTTCCTTGTAATCGATTATCAGGCGATTGTCACTTGTGAAATTCACAGATACTCGATATTCCGTGTCGTTCGGTGAGGTTTTGGGCGGTTGAATCACATTTGGCGGGATCTCCGGCCTCTCAGGCGGCGAGAGAGGAACCTGGGCAGAGGTAGCAGTGGATGTACATGCTGGTCTAACCATTGGCCTCCTCAGTCTCTCATTCAGTGATCTGTGGGCTCTCAACTTTGGCCTTTTAGGACTTTCCGGAAGAGCTTTCGCAACAGCTCGTTTCTTCTGGGGCACTTCCTTCGATTCCTCTTCCTCAGCTCGTCTCTTTGGCGCCTGCCGTGCAGGAGCGGGAGTTAACTTGAGACGCCCCTGGACAGATGGTGGCGTCTTGGCTCTGACCACGTGCTTCTCAGGTGCGCATTTCTGGTCTGCCTTGAGTGCAGTTTGCAGACGTTTTAGCCTGTCTTGAGCGGGTGTTCTGCTCATCCGGGCATCGACTTTGGGCACGGACGGAGCGGCGTAGGCCTTGAATATGCGATCGTGGTCTATTTGAGGCACTGATATTGGAGAGATGGGCTTTTCAGCTGAATCAGCTGATTTACTATCTCTGGTTTTCATCCATTGCCAGTCCATCCTCAGTGTTTATCTGGTGGATTTGAACAGGAAGGGATTAAATTTTCGGCTAGATTTCGCTGTAGATTGCATACTTACGATAATGTACATAGTTTGTATGTACAGATTACTTGAATTCTGCACGTCTTTTTAGCAAAAAATAGATTTTTCGAGAGCTCTCTGCTTACAAAACTCTGGCATTCTTCAGAATGACAATTACACTGTTAAGCTAGGCGTGATATTCTTTCCGGAGAACTTATTTTCAGTTCGAATAATCTTATCAGTCAATTGAACGGAATATAGAGCTTAATCAGAAGCTTATTGCAATGATCAACTTGTATTCAGTGTAATTATTCATTTCCTATTCTAGAAAAGATCTTTCCTTCATTTTTCCGAATCTTTTCGCCCATAGAATGTCTTTTTCCGAGAGAGGCGCTGCAATCGTCCTGTGTGGTGCGTGGAAATGGCGCGAAAATTGCCATGTCAAGATCATATGTTTTTGTTGATGTTTGCTCACCTGTAGAGATTCTCATTGCGTCCCAGTTTTCTCCTCCTCCTCCTATCCACATTCCAGCACTTGTCCTGCGTCGCTGCGAGACTGACTCGACCGGCTGATATGTTGCGAAATTGGCGAAGAGGTGCAAAATCATGCCGACTTTCAGATAGCAAGGTAAATGATAGAGATATCGCGCCTGAGGGCATTTCTGCTGGCCAGATGGTGGGGGAGATAGGTGCTGATTAGGTCACTTGTCGACGTGGTGGGAGCCCATTAGGCGGAGGTGCCCTTAAAAGAGCTGCGAAGTAGATGAAAATCCAGTCAGTTTGCCTTTGCCTCGTCATCAGATCACGTGGCCTGACAGGGTCAAATTTGATAGTTGCACACACTCGCAGAGTCAGTGAGTGGAGAATTGCTGGGCGGCGGTGTCTCTGGATGTTGCTGGTTGTGAGATTCTGAACGACAGCACTTGCTTCTCGCGCGTGTCTCAGAGTTCCAAGACAGAGTGTGTTGCGTGTTTGTGATAGAAATGGAAGTGATATCGAACCTTCTGCAGCCCTATAAGGGCATCGTGAGTGCGGCAGCAGGAATTGCTACGACTGCGCAATTTTTTAGTGGTGCTTTTGTCTGCAATGATATCAGGAAGGCGGGAAGTGCCGAGAAGTTCCCCTTCCTGCCCTTTATCGGCGGAACAGTGTTGTGAGTTGTCCGCGGGACGCGGAGTGGCGGCCAGAGGATGAGTGTCTCTCTCTTGTCTGTTTCAGCGGAGTCCTGGGTCTGCAGTACGGCGTGATTCTGCGGGATGACACGATGATTCCGGTGAACTTAGCCGGTCTGGCCTTGAGCATCATCTACGTGTGCTTCTTCTACAACTACACGCCGAATCATCTGAAGGGGCGCGTGTGGGCGCAGATGGGCATCGCCGGCGCCTTCTCGGCCGCCGTGGTGGCGTACGCCCAGTGGGAGGACGAGAATCTGGTGGAGACGCGATTCGGCCTCATTCTCACCGCCGTGATGGTGTACATGATTTCCGCGCCGCTTTTTGATCTCGGCACAATCATTCGCAATCAGAGCGTCGAGGGTCTCCCGTTTCCCATCATCTTCTCCGGCACGGTGGTGTCCTTCCTGTGGCTGCTGCACGGCTTCATCATCCTCAACACCATCGTCGTGGTGCAGAACCTCTTCTTCTTCACGCTGAGCGCCATCCAGCTCTCCCTGTTCGCCATCTATCCATCCAAGCCGACGGACAAAGCCAAGAAGGCGCAGTAGAATGCGACGACGTCGATTCCAGAGACAATAACTCGACCAATCCAGCAGCACTTGTCGTACGTGCACTTTGCCCTTGACCCTCACTCTCCACACGGGACGCTTATTGATTTTCCTCTTCCCTGTGACCATGATTGCAGCGGAAAGGCCAGTGATTGCGCTCAAAGCAGTGGTGCTGACGGAATAGTTGTTTCGAAAACTATCCTTTCAATTTACTGAATTTGCTCTGAAGGTAGTTTGGGATTTTATATCCAGAAATCAAATTGATTTTATTAGAGTAAAATAATTGAAATCGGCAATGAGATTTACACTAAAATTGCCATGTTTCATATATTTTTCCACAGAAACTCACACATTGACGGTGTTTCACATAAATCAGAACACCGTTCCAGAAAAGGGCAATTTTAGCATAATTCTTTTGCTCATTGTGCCAAAATTTATGTGTAAATCAAGAAATTAAGTCTTCCAATTCGTTACATTTGTTGATACGATTAAGACCATATAAGTAGCGTTGAAAGAATTGCATACTGAAGGTGATCTTTGAGCAAATTTTTCAAAGGATTAGTTGAGATATTGAAATTTGTGACATTTTTCTTCGCCTTCCAGTTGCAACTGGTAGATTAACTTAATAAGTCATTCCTTCGTTTGTGTGCCTTGAGATAATGTGAATTTATTGTGATGCTGCCCGTGAAGTTTTCTTATCACACAGCGTGTGATATTTGCAATTTTTTAAGTTGAGAGTGTAACAAAAGGGCCGTAAATGTGTCGCAATAAACTATATGTATTCCTTAATCCCGAAAATCATGTGCAAATACGACAAATTGCTGAGGAAGTCGTCGAAGTGTTCTTTTAATTAGCATGAAGGATATATTTTATATATTTTTAGGGACAATAACACATGTGAACATGTAATTTCGTCTTCCACGAGAGTGTGCAAATGCAAAAAGAGCGAGAAAAAAAGCATGCGAAGCATGCAAGAGTGAATTATTTAAAGCGGAGAAAAGGACGAGAAGAGCTGCAATTCTCTCTTAGCTTTCATGTGTGATCTATTCAACAAGTTTTACACCAAAATGACCCTGAAATAATGAAAATGTTATTGCACAATGATTCTTATTACATAATGATTCAGTGTATACGATTAACCTCTTCACTGTCTCGGTGTGTCCACTTGCTGACGAAAATACGCGAATGCAAGTGTGGTAAATTTCCGGTGGGTGGGAAAATTGCTCAATCAGCATTATTTTTTTATTCTTCTTCTTTCACAGTCCAAAATGACTGGCGAACAAGTCAAAAATGTTGCATTGTCTGATTGTATAGTTTTTATTCAATAAAAAAAAAGAGACAATTAGATGTTGAAAAACCTCAAAAAAGAGAGAGAAAAAACCTCGGAAAAAACAGACACACTGATAAGAACAAATATTTTTTTTTGTAATTGGAATGAATGCTGGAAGATTGTATTAATTTATCTGTCTGCTGACATTCATCGTTTTTCCCTTCTTCTCAATGTTGATTTTACCATCTCTTATCTTCTCCTCTATTGAATTTATTGACTATAATCTATTGTTTCTTTTTTCCTCATTTATCAAATATTTCCATTATCAGTTTTGCTTCCTAAGATGCCTTCTATTTCCTACAATTTCTCCATTACAGAGTTTAGGTAAAAAAATCACAATGTACTCTTTTTTTTTTAAATGTTTTTCTCTCTAGAAAAATAGAACCATTGTATTCCATTTATGTGTTTATTTTTATTTTTATATTTAATATATCCTTGGTTAGAATATCCTTCTGTATCTTTTCTTTTTCATTAAAAATCCTCATTCTTATGGGGGAAAGTCTTTAGCTTTTTTTTTGTTGCTTTTTGGTTTTATACTTCATAATTCACTTCAATCTCTCTCGCGATTATTGGATATGTCCATGTAAAAAATAATAAATTTCCTTCTCGGATTCCATCTCGGAAAGTTTCTTATACAAATTGAACAGTGTGAACTTAAAATGATAAAAGACTTTGTAAATTGGTAAAAATATCGTGTAGGTAGAATATTCCTCTCACTACGTCCGGCGATGGGCAGAAATTGGGGCTCAGAGCGATCCGCTGGAGTCGCCGTGGAAATGCAGGAGGTTCTCGCCAGTGTAGCTGGCCGTTGGCGAGGACGACGGAGCGTCCAGGCTGGCGCGACTCGTGGAACTGAAGCTGCTCGAGCTCATGTCGTCCATCTGGGCCAGGATGTTCTGGCTTCCGCCAGCGAAAACCTTGGAAATCGCGACGCCGTCTGCAAAGGGCGTCACAGATTAGTTAACAATTCCACATTCAATCTTTCATTGCCATGTATTAATTTAAGGGTCGTTGCAATATTACAGATTTCATATTTCAATTCATCTATGCTTGCTAACTGACAATTTACTTGGTTTTCACGTGAATTTTCCGGCTCTTGAATTGACTTCAAGCGCCAACGTTTGAACAGTTTCAAGTCTCGTAGAAAATAAACTCCCCACTTTCGTGAATGTTACGAATTCATAACTTTGACAGCTTTTTCAAAATGATATGAAAGTAAAGTTGCAAAGACTCCTTAGAATTATGATGAAATAATGATTTTTTTTTAACTTTAAGGGCCTAAGTGGGTTAAAATATAACCATTGGCGATTTCAAAGGGTGCTTTGAAGAAAAAACAGTGGTTTTTGCGAAAGAGAAATGAAACGTTTTTTTTTATTGTTTTTTTTTCTCCTTTTAAAGTAAATTTTATAAATACAATAAATTCTCTTAATCTTGCAATTACTGTATAGACACAATGAATCATCATCAATTTAATCTTTCATTTATTCACTCTAGTCAACTAATTTTTATATTCACTTTTTTCAAAATTTTATATGCATTTTTTTTGTCATTCACGATTTTTTTCTTTCTTTCTTTCTTATTCATCTGCAATAAACGATACAGAGACAGAAATTCAATAACGACTAATTCATCATTCTTAAGTTTATACCAAGAGCTCTCTATTTATCTCAAGTGAGTCTCAAGAGGGTTTTCATGGGACGATCTTGAGGCCTCTAATCGAAGAAATAATAAAATGATGTTAAGATTCCGATTCGAACGATATAATCTTCCTTAATAGAAACGATTTCACGAGTTAAAATGTGGTCTAGAAATGGATACAAATGTTTTGAACGTAAATAATATTTCGCTCTAAAATATAAATTATAGCAAAAATAAAATGGTTGGTAAAATTGTCCAACGAAACAACATGAAGAGGAAAAAAATGTGTATCTAAAATAGAAGGAAAAAAGATATTTTTAAATATACTTTGAGATCTTACACGATATTATACCATTTTTTTTGTGATCATTCTACACACTCCTCACCGTCTTTAACCTTAAATCTACAATTTTACAGTAATTCTTTTAATCCTTTTACAAGAAGTTCTGTCTTCACTAAGCTATGATTTTTTTGTAGTATTTTTTTTACACTGTTATTTGTCTCGTTCTACACGCAAAACTAGAGTTCTCCTTCCCTTCCTAACACGTAATGATTGTGATCTTCTTCAAAAGAATTGCTGATCCTCGTGATGTTTTTCTCTGTACAGTTTTCCCTCCTTTGCCATGTCTTATCTATTTTTCCTGCGTGACTTCTTCTTCTGCTGCTGCTTAAAATCACTTCGATTGGTCGTTGGCAGTGTTTCGGACCGCTTTGTCGACTCCTTCTCCCCATCCTCGGACGCCTTCTGCTCAGCAGCGCAGCGATCCGACATCGGAGAACCCTCACTGGCGCCTCCGCTGGCATTTATCAGCGGCTGCAGCTCCTCGTCGTGTCCGTCACTCCCCTCGCGCGCCTTCTCGCCGCCCGACGAGCTCTCAGAGTCATTCTCCGAGGAGCCACTGACCGAGAGGATTCTGTCGGTGGGATTGCTGTCGGTGAACTTCTCCTCGAAGCTGTTGTAGAAGTGATCTGACCAGAATTTGTCGGTCTCACTGCGCGCCACGTTATTATACAGTGTGGACTCCTCCTCCTGATAGCCATACATGGGCTCGAACTTGAGCTCAAAGGGCTCCAGGGGCGCCAGAGGCTCCACAAGGCGTTCGCTGTCCTCCTCGGGGAACTCCAAGTCCAACTTTGTGGTTGTCACATCGAAGAAATTGTTGACAATTTCCGGGAACTGCTCTTCCCGCTTTGTCGTCGTGGTCATGACAATTGAGTCCTTGAGCAATGTGTCCTGAATCATCTCGAAATCCTGCTTCAGCGTCTTGTACTGTGGCAGATTCTCCTCATCCTCAGGCAGCTTCACTTCATCCAGCTGAATTTCGTCGATTTTCCCCTCAATCTTCTCCTCTTCCGCCAGATTTTTCGCTACTTTTGCACCTTTCTTCACCTTCTTCGGCTTCCCCGCCGTCTTCACTGCCCGCGGAGGCTCTTCCAACTCCACAGGGGGTGGCGAGGGTTCCTTTTCCTCTTGCTTCTTCTTCTTCCCGCCACTCTTCTTCGCCACTTCCTTCTCTGGCGACTTTCGCGGCACGCTCTCCTCCATCACCGGCACAATGAGCTCCATGCCAACGGGCGCGGGAGCGTCTGGAGTCACTTCCTCCTCACTGGACGCCCGTCGCACGTCACTAATCACCGTGACGACGGGCCGAAAGAGTGCCTCGTCGCAATTCTCGTGCAAATAGTGATCCGCGAAGCTTGTGTCCATCTCGCCGGGGCACGAGATCACGGACTGCGTCACTGTGGTCACAGTTCCCAAGGGATTCACCACTTTGGCCACAGAACGCGACGCACCGCCATTTGGCGGCGGTGTAGCGTGACCCATCGCGACTGTGGACATCTCACGATGTCGCACACACGACGCTGTGGCCGATGACGAGGGACCTTGAAGAGAAAGAGAAGCCAGAGGCAGAGATTCAGTCACTTTTTCAGTCTTAATCTCCAAAATTTTTCCGCAACTAACAAAAAAACCGAAACGCTCTCTAGCTTCTAAAGCCAAACTTCCAAAAAAAAAAAAAAACAGAAGGTAAATAATAGTAAGATGTATAAAACAAGTGGTAAAAAATGTACACAGAAAATTAACTGAGTGAGAAAATTAGGTATTAAAAAGTAGTATTTTAATTAGATTTAGCCACGGCCGGTGTGCGTGATGGATAAATCTCTCTCTCTCTCAACTCTAGGCTTTAGTCTTCCTCTGGGATTTCACAGAGAGTGAAAGCATTCATGCAAATTAATTCCCATCACTTTTGCCGCGACAAACCAATCGCGAGAGGTGCGCAAATAAGTGCTAACTTCAGGACAATCTCTGCGAAACACAACCTGCCTTTGGCTTTTAATCTCTCCCCAAAGTACCACAGCTTATCAGTAAAACAAAACAACGGCAAGTGCAGAGGAAGAATTGAACAAGAATTGAGACAAAAACTGTCAATCTCGATTGTTCATCTCTCCTTCCACTTTTAGCCCTAATAAACTTCTTATCAAAAAGTGTGTGGAGCAAAATACAAACTGAGTGGAAATCCAACAAAACGGTAAATATCACTTTTCGTGGATCATTTCATTGAATTTCCCCCCAATCAGTGAAGCATCAGGACACAAGAAAAAAGCTGCTGATTCACCAGCAAATATTGCTGATCATGTCAAAATTATTGTGCGACAAAGAGAACCTTCAATTCACCTTCTTTCTCATGCATTTGCCTCTCTAATTCTTTTTTTCTGTGCAAAGTAGAGAGTGAACTTAGCAAACAGAATACTGTGATAGTGAAGTGATAATAGTGCAAATTATACTTTTTGTAAAATGGAAATAAAATGAAATTTTAATGAAGCATTGTGTTATTTACATGTGTGTGTGTGTTGGCGCTTAAAAATCATATTCTACAACATCGCAAGCACTATCAGTTGATGTGTTGTTACCTGAGGTATCTCGCGATACGTTCGGTGATTCACGCATGGCATCGGCCAGATCCTCGCGCAATTGCGACTCGCGAGGACCCAGAGAGAAGTCCGGATCCATATCATCGTGACGGAATTGATCAGCAAGACGAGGACTGGGCTCGTAACTGCCTGCAAGATCAGAAACCAGAGTCAGTCACGTCAATCATTCCGCGCTGAGCAAAGCGTCAATCTCACTGTAGGATCCGGATTCGATGAGAACGGGCACAATGGGGCGCCCCGTGGTGGTGATTGGCATATTCATGGGGTTGGAGCGCGCCGGCAGGGCGCCACTGGCCGTGGCGATGCCCACCTCCACAGACTCCGCATCGATGTGACTCAGGGACGAGCCGCTGGGCGTGTTGTACGTCTTGAAGATGAACTGCGGCCCCATCCAGAGTCGCCTGTGCGGCCCCGCGTGCGTGATGATCTCCACCTGCGCCAGCCAGCGATCATCCCTCTCCCCCTCCCGCGCATCCTCGCAGTTCTCCGCCTCGAACACGCGATCGCGCAACAGCCAACTGTCCGACGGCAGCGGCGGCTGAATCTCCGTGAGAGAGTCCGCCGTCCGCAGGAGATTCCACTGCGCCTTCGCCTCCACGTCCAGCTCAATTGGCGTGTCATCGCTCACTCTCTCCTTGGCAACGCCTGCAAAACACAAAATTTTTGGCAAATTCCTCAATCTGTCACTAAATATTTAGAGAGCTAAAAATACACAATGTGTGACGACACGCTCTCGTGCCGATGGATTAAAATAAGAGTGTAAATGAGACTTTAGAGGCACAACGACATTGTTCTCCGCTTACAATATTGCACACTTTTGCCTCACTTTATTTTTAATGGGATTTAAATTTATTTGATGAGTGTGTGTTTCAACCATGTTGACAAACACGACCTCTTGAAGTGACTCAGTTTGGCTGAATAACATTGAATTACACTTCATTGATTAAATGAATTTTCCACATGTACGAAAAATGGGAGATTCAGTTCATGTCCTTAAGAGTCGATCCTATCTGGAGTTTTATTTGAGTGCAAACTACTGGAATAGAGTCAAGGAATGAAGTCTTGTTTTCCAGCCCGATAAAGGCTAGTTTTCGGAGCATTTCTAAGGTCTGAGAAGACTTGAAATTATGCTAAAAAAAGACTTAATTTCAAATCACTTTATCAATGATTTTATCAGTGAGTGATACTCACTTGAGGTGTGCTTGGGCTCCAGGTCGTACTGAATCAACGCGCCATGTCCTGCCATGATAAAGAGCGAGTCCACGGCGCGTCTCTGCATCCTGAGCGACGGCGCTTCTCTAGCACTGCCCGGCGGATCGAGGAGCCACGCTCTGGGCCTCGCGAAAGTGGCGCACATCCGCAGTGGCTTCGAGGAGTTCCCATCATCGGACAGTGACGAGTGTCGCTGTCTGCCCTTGGCGTATTGCGCGGCTCCAGGGCCGGCGACTGTCACCAGCGATGCCGGCTGGCGAAGTTGCGTGAGCGGAAGGATGACTGTCGGGTGCGGAAAGGGCGGCAATCGGGGATTGGGATAAGCGCTGCCCGTGTGGTTGGTGCCGTGATTGGCGTCCGCGTACGAGACAGGGCTGCTCGATCGGCCGCCGTCCATGGAGAGGCCCGCCGAGCGGTGGAAGCGCGACAAGCGATTGACAACATGCGGAGAGCCGTGCGTGCGGATGCCCGCGGGCCCACCGTACGGCGTCACGGGGAACACGTGAGTGGTGCCGCGCAGGCTACTCACGGCCACCCAGCGTGAATCCAGCGAGAACACAATGTCCTGCACCTTGGCCGTCGTGTCGCCGCGATGGAGCACATAGAGATGGTGAACGGCGGCATGCGACGCCCCGCCGGGGTGCGGGTGGATGCGGAACACGTGGAAGTCATGGCCACGGCGATCGGCTGTGAGCAGCAGCATGCCCGAGGGGTCAAACTGCAGCGCCACGATGGCATCCGAGTGGGCGATAAAGTGAGCCACAATTGGATCCACTCCAGATGCCGAAATGGGGGCTCCAGTTGTGGGGCTGATGTCTTTTATAGGGTGCTGAAAGCAAAAGTGATGAGACACTTTATTCGCCATTTCTTATCAGTGTGTTCAGTAGCAAAAGTGAATTATGCAATAATTTCTTTACTTACTAACTCAACGCAAAGATATTCTAAGCGAAATTTACCACATCAAAATCACCTCCAAATACCATCATTAACCAGACATCTCATGAGTAAAACATTGCAAATCCTTTTCTTCATGTCTCTTAAGTGAAGAGCTATTTTTCCTTATTCCTTTGGATTAAACTCTTACATATTTGAATGTTAACATTCCTCAGTTTTACTGGGAATTGATCCAATTATTATCAAAAAAGCAAAACGATAGGAAAAGGTCGAGTATTTGCAATCTCACTTCTCTGCTATCTCAGCAACTTCATAAGCTTTTATGTTTCTCAAGTTAAATTAAATGCATTTTCCACAACAAAAACAAGTTTTACAGCGCGATAAGGAAAATTCCTGAGGTCATTGCAATAATGAACCATTTCACTTCTGCTTCAGGTATTTGTATAAAAAATGTTTCTTTGTTTAGGCATTTTGCAATAACACGTGTGGCTCATAATGCCTCTCAAGGTTCAAAAACAGATAATTTTTTATCTAACGCCGAGCGCATGAATCACAGGAAGTCTCTGCTTTTTTCTCTTTTTACCTTTATGTCCATGATGGTGACGACGCCCGGTTGGCGAGGATCGGAAACTGGTGTGGAGCTCCCGGATCCCGGACTGCCGGCCTGCATTTGGCCCTGGCTGCTGAAGCCCGCCGCCACGGACTCGCCCAACTCGCGCAGACCCTTCCCAAGGCTCTTGGCGGCATTGAGCATCGTGGCTGTGTAGCTGGCCACGCCGTCGCAGTCGCATCCGCCACTGCTGCGCTTCGACATGAGCCGCCGCTCGGCGTACGCCATCCAGCGCGTGCCCAGCGCCACGGGATTGGGATTGAGTCCGGGACTCGGATGGCACGTGGTCACTGTGCATCTGTCCTCAAAGTTGCGCGCATCGAACACGGCTATCCTCTCCTGGAAGGTCACCACCACGGTGGATCTGTTGGCGAGGATGTCGAGGATGGGGTTCTTGAACTTGATGCTCTTCACCACATCCCCGTCGGCCAGCGAGACGAAAGCCACCGCACAGTGGGCCGTCGTCCCGCCCGGCGGCGTTTGCGGGCTGTCGCAGAGCGCCATGATGGGCCGCTTGGAAGTGAACTGATCGCAGGGCGCGTCCGCCAGGTCTCCGTCGTCCGGCACCGGCGTGGGCAGAATGCGAAGGCATTTCACGCTGCCGTGGCGCCACGACAGCACCTCCACGGCCTCCCCATTGGCGGGAATCGCCCACACTTGCACGCCACTGCCGTAGCCCAGCGTGAGGAGCAGCGGTGGAGCGCAATCCGCCTCGAGATCCCAATCCTCGCCGAACTTCAGGTCACTCACATCGGCGTCCGTCTCAAATCGCGCCCACAGGATGGACTCCTTGCCGCCATCGCCAGGGCCACTCGCGGACGTGAGCGTGACATCGTTGATGAAGCCCGCCACGCTGTCCAGCACCGAGCGATCACACACCGCTTGCGGGGGCACCACGGCCGGGACGCTGCGAGCGCCGCGACGCGGAGACTCCGACATCTTGATGCTTCAGACAATCTGCTTGAGTCGCTTCCTGAAAACCGAACAGAGAAAAGGGTTGCAGATCAGCTCACTAGACTTCCCTTTTTGCACAAAGTGCGTCAAAAATCCCATTAATTACACGTCGCCAATGGCATCCACACACTGCACATGCACTGCGCGCGTGTGTGTGTGCAAGAGAGAGAGACCAAAGGTGCCCCCCCAGTGAAAAAAAAACTCAGGGTCGCCTCGAGAGAGTATCGTTGGCAGCCTCTCTCTCTCTCTCGTCTTTTTTTGGGAAAAATCCCGCAGAAATTCACGAGAAGTGAAATCACACTCCCGCACTCGTGGGACGAAATGCTCTCTCTCTCTCTCAATTGCGTTGAATTTTTCCTGTCCCGTTGTTTATTTCACTTGGCAAACGCAGCCCCACAATAAGAGACCAAACAGCTGAGCTGGAGACACTCACACACCTTCAGCGCGAGAGCCAAAAAGTATGACAAAACGCCAAGAGAAAAGAAACAGTCAGAGAGAGAAAGAGAGAGTCAACAGTGGCGCACCGCGGAATTGACGCAGGTGGTTGAATGCCTGCCAACCCTATGAAAGAACTGACTTTCAGGCAGTGAATGTGATGTTTTCTTGCCTGAATGTTTGGAGAAAAATTTGAAAATTGTTTTGAACGTTCAGGCACAACAAACATTCTTAAGGCCTTGATATATTACAGATATTTTCTTGGAAGATTCCGATTCGCATTGATACTTATAAGACGCTCTTATTGGTTTGTATGCGTCAACAAGCAAATATACTATCGTCATGCAGCTGCGTTATCGAGCAACCTTTGCGGAATTGTGGTTATCGCTGAAAAATTGTCACTTGTGCTTCGGTAAATTGACTGAGAAGTGTCGATTTCGACAGGGAGCGGAAGGGAGACGGAGCGATTTGGCCCCCAACTGAGCCACTCTCTCGGTTTGACATTCACTGCGATGAGAGGCAGCGAGCGCCAGCGCCACCACTGGCCGCACACACTCCCGCACACGAGAGTGACAACAGCGCGCTGAGCGAGTGTGTGTGCCATTGTTTGATAGTGTGCCCAGAGAGCGAGAGAGATGGAGTGGCGAGAGCGAAGGACAAAGGATTGGGGAATCCGCCCAAGCTAGCCAGCCAACAAAGGTGGCCCCACGGTGGCAGGGACACTGGGTGCCTCCGTTGGCGTCTCAGATACTCCGGAGAGGTGGTCAGAATGGGATTTACTCACTCTCTGGAAGGCAGCCAAACACATAACTGGGCAATTTCAGTGGATTTCAACAAACTGCGTCATCGTTTTACACAATCAACTTTTCACTTTGGCGATGAGGGCAGCCTCTCGAGTTGGCCCACTTTTTTCACACACGATCACACACTTTTCCCTTACCACCCACCACTCACGCCATCCACTTGTCGTTTCTGCGTTCTTTTCCCAGGGATTTTTGGCTGTGAAAATGCAACAAAATGTCTGTGACTGCCTTTTTCTACGCAGACGAAGACAATGTAACAAATTTTCCACTAACCTCTCTCTCTCACTCTCGCCAACTGACGTTTTACACAACAAAATCAGCTGACATATGGCGGACGGCCGCTCGGGAGGCGCGCGAAGGCGACGCGAGTCTGCGAGTGCTGACAAATGGAGGGGAAATTGTCAGCACGTCAGCGCTGCGAAATGCCGCTGTTGGCTGCACTTCGTGGCGCTCCAGTCGGCGAGTCAAGTGAATTTTGACTCTGCAAAAGAAACATGGCTGACGTGTGTGTGGTGTTTGCGGGGTGTTGTGAAAAAGTGATCATTTTGTGACCTTCCCACCTGCCTATGGATACCTAATTGCGCTCAGCAGACTCCCGAGTGTTCAGTGCGTACCCTGGTTGGTGAAGAGGACTTGTGTGCGGGCAGAGAGGAGCACAGCGAGCGCGTGACGAGTGGTGTTGGCGAAATGGCTGACGACCGGGGGAGGCTCTCCTCGGTGGCTGCTGATGGGATAGACATAAAGCGACCTGAGGAGGTTGTCATGTCCAATCTGGCGGATAATCTCAAATTTGCCGTCCTCATTGGACTCGTGGAGGTCGGTGGGCAGGTGTCAAATCGCGAGGTTGTCAACACAGTGCTGCATTTGGTGAGTTTCTGTCCCAGTGCCTTTCCACCCCCTCGCGAGGGCCATCCGGACGTGGTGGCGCAGGCACAGTGGCCTGACCACCGCGTCTGGGGTGCTCAGTGTCTCGGGAAGCAAGTTGGGGAGTCGCACTGTCAAGCTGTCACCACCCATTGCCTCTCGCGGCGGAGGAAAACACCTGACAAGGTGGATGGCAATCGTGTTCAATTGCGACAAGTGTCACTCTTCCGGACGCAGAGGCTCCGCGGTGGAAATGAGCAGTGTCCCACCCACTCGCCGTCCGTTCCAATTTCCCAATTACATCAATTAAACAGACTCGCGCGCGCCCGGTGAAAAAACACCCAATTAGGCCCGACTTTATCTAGGAGGCGAAACGGTGTGATGAATCGCAAATGGGTCTATAATTGATCCTCTGACCAGGCAAAAAGCCCCCTAATTTCGTCAGAGAAAAGTAAAGGTTGATTACGAGTGGAAAAGTGCCACCTTTTATCAGTAAAACTCTCGCTCGTGATATCGAGCGAGCGAGTGTGCGTTTGACGGTCTCGAAAAACATTCATATGAAATTATGGTAAAAGAGTGTAACAATTATTTATCACCTTCATTACAGTCACACAGCATGAGCGTGTGTGCAATGAGTCTTTCTACCTCTTTCTCACCTTGAGAATCACTCTTGCAAGGTGCTAATCGACCCGCTATCATGACTTTCGGGTGGTGGGAAACTGCAGGTCCTTAGCGACTGAACAGGTGCAGAATATGATCATTTCGTTTAACCCTTTCACGACAGAATATCCACATTAACAGGACGTGCCTTAAGATTTTCGACTTTGGAATGATTTTCATCCCTTGCTCAACTCTTTAGAATCCACTGACTTCATTCTCGCTTTCGTTGTGAGGTACTTGAGTTTAGGATGCTCTTCAGAGTGTTCAACATCACTTCCTGGAATTATTACAGTCTTCCATTCGAGAGGCTGAATAAACGAAGCGAATTCAGAAGTTATTTATGTATGGCAAATATAAATAAATTGGTCATACAAATTTTTGGTTTATTCTATTTTGGTAGCATTTCCTTCAGAGATATAAATCTATCAAAGATTTGGGACGTTTTTAGAAGAAAATTTGAATATTTCTTCTTATTCCAGCGAACACATCTGCTCACAAAAGCGCCTTTTTTAAGGTCAAAGTGTGAGAATTACTCGTGATGGCAGCGACGATTAAAAAAACTAAAACGATGAACTTGTTAGATGACATTTGATTATACTTGTCAAAGAGGAAATTTGCAAATTTAATGGGAAGTGTTTGAGAAAACACGAAAGCCGCCACATTTGCAGAAGAGAGGAACTTGATATCGTTTTATTCACGTTCTCACACGAGTGGAGAATCTCGATTTTGAGTTGATATAGTTTTAGAGTTTTCCAACATCCTTTTCCGGCTGTTTGTTTATATTTTTGGTTTATAGCAGTTCGTAAGTTTCTTTGAGGGTGTAATTTGCAAAACTTCCATTACGAGTGACCAGGGATTCCTCCGGTTGGGTTTCTGTGGCGAAAAGTTGAGCTTATCTGTGGAATGCACCGCATCTTATCTTATCTGTCGTGTGATAAATTTTGTAAAATAAATGAAGAGCGACATTTTCACAATAAGTGTCCGCTTTGCATCAAGAGTCAAATTTAAGTCTTCCCACATGTTAAATAATTTCTTAGAGTTCTCATTACTGCTTAATTCACTTATGTCTTTCGGAGTTGATGCCAAATTCAGTGTTTCTCATGAGGAGCGAAAAAAAAAATATCGTGAAGCTTAACACTGAATATATTAATATTTTACAAGGTCAGTCATCTTTTCAAATTAATGTGAATTCTATGTGTTTCTACCGATTTCCTTTGTCAGGCTCAATCTCTGTGTCTCTGTGTGCGTAATTGAATTTGTGAACTGATTTACGTAAATGACATAAAAGCTCTGTTGAGGCATTAATTAACAAATTGATCTCGTTAGTGATGTTCGGAGTGTTTTCATTGTAGTTACATAAATGCACAATGCAAATAATGTTCCGTGCCAGGACGAATTTCAGATAGAATTTGATCTGATTGAAGGGGTTTTATTTATCGTCTTTGAGCAGAATCGCACTTTGAATTGTGATAGCAGTCTTTGCTGTGAAATCTTGAAAGGAATTTATTCAGCTTTCGCAGTTTATTGAAATTGAGATGTAATCCAATATTCTCCTCAATGTTTTTCTCCTTTTAATTTTGAACATGAGCCAGCGTGGAATTATATGCGGGGGAATAGAATAAATGTGATGAATTGGATGTGCATTCATTGGCGATGTGCAGATGAGAACGGGTGTGAATGGAGTGAATTGAGGTGCGATTTGTGTTCCAAATGATTCGCTGTGAATAAAGAGATAAATCGGCGAAATGAACTTTCCGGGTAGTTGAAATGTTGCAAGAGATTCAGCCAAATTTTCATTAATACTCCGATTCTCGTTCCATTGAATGCTTAGTGGTCGAATTTCTTTTTTTTTTCACTATAACGTCTGCGGTAGGAAAGATTTAGTGGCTCGACTGCATTTATTCTGGTCTCGAGAATTTTTGCACGAGTTTCTCTAAATGGACGAAATCACGTTTTTCCCTCTTGTGCTTTTATAACAATTCCACATTTTTAATTCACTCCCAATGTGTGTGTGTTTGTGTGTGTTTGTGTATTATTCATTTGAATATCCACTCACCCGTGAGGATATTTCTTTTTCATGTTGTTTACCCATTTTCATTTTCGCTGTTTTAATACCCAGACTCATGGACACTCGTTTCTGCCTCTGCTCAGGTGGAGTTCTGTATTGATGAGAGTTTTGCGTTGATTTCCGCTGTCAAGGGCACAAAAAGATAATAATAATCAATGATGATGATGAGAGGGAGACATTTTGCTATGCAACTACTGTGCTGAACTATTTCGGTTTGCAGCAAAATGAATTATTCAAATTATCTGCTCATTCATATCACAAATTCTGCCTTCCGGCGAGAAATTTTGTGCTCATGAAAACTCATTATCTATTACGGGAAAATAGCATATATTTATGTGGTGAATAACACACACTCAGTGGGTGTTTTGAATTGAATTTAAAGTTTTATTTCGCACTATTTGATTAAACAATAAATAATAGTGTGAATATCTGAGTTTGGTGACGCTGAGAGAACTTTTTTTTTATAAGAGTATTTCCATTAACAGAACACGATCATAAACACGCCAATTATTTATTAAACATTAACTCTATTAATTTGTCCAATTTCTGAGAAAATCCAACTCACTTTCACGGCATATGATCACCCTTTTGAGCTAAATTCATCTCAACTATATTTACTACAGGGAAAAATTTCACAGAGTGTGAGTTTTACTTGTATTCTTGCCCAGATCGATCGTCTCTGAGTTGAATGTACAATTAGATAGCCTGGAAATGGGGATGTGAAGATGATGTGGGAGGGGAAAATTTATTTTTCTCTATTGTATTTGCCATGTTTAAAGATGACAGTGAAAAAGGAAGAAGTCCTGTGCGTGTGTTGTGAAGGAGAAGAAAAAACTTCCGGGTCGGAAAGTTGTTTAATATCGTAATCTGATTATTTTTTATCTTCATTTAATAATGTTGAGTACCCGAGACGAGGGCGGGAGGATTGAAACTGTGAAGATGTTGGGTGATATTTTTCGTATGTTCTCTATTTCTCAATCCTGACAGCCTTCGTGGGGTGGCGAGGCGCCTTTAATGCAGCACTTTAAGCACGAAAATCTCTGTTGAAGAATAATTCTTGAGTACAGTTTGAATTTGTAATTACGGGCCAAATTGCCAGTAAAATGGTAATGTGTGAAATGTGTAAATTAGCCTTTAACGCTTCTAGAACAATCTTGGGGTATTCCAGATCACATGTGTTATTTTCACCTGACATTTGTGTTAAAAATTGGACTTTCAGAGTGTGTAATTTTGAAAACGAGCTATAAATGACATTTTTCGAGCAAAAAAGAGCGTCAAAACAGCCGTAAAACTATGCAACAAAGGATAGCGCGAGAGTTTTATGGTATTTTATCTCATAAAACTATGTGAATGGTCCTATAACACAGTTTAAATAGGAATTTGGCCCTACATTTTACTATCAAAAATTCAAGTAGAAAGCAAGATTTTTCTACCACCTTTGAATGTGTGTGTATTGAAAGAAAGAAAAACAAGAAATGGAGTTGTTTAATCAAAATCTCTCCAGGAAATGTAAAAGTTTGCCCATAAAAGAAATATGTTATCCCCAATTGCGCTCTAAAAATGCTTCTCAAAACAGCCAAAATGGCTTCACGGTGTCAGATTTCGGGCGGATCTTCCCCTCTGGGTAACAAAGGAAACTTGCTCATCTCCCTATTCACCTGCTTCTCCGCGTGCCAGTTAATCTTTAACACCACGCTGAATGTTAAGTGATTCGCAGAAGCACTATTTTTCATTCTTTCTCCCCTCGTTTTCACTGTGTCGAGAGTGTAGCGGAAAAAATCTCCACGAGCGAAAGTGGGAATATTTTAGCCTCGGATTCGCCCCAACATCATAACTCTGAGCCTATATGATGGCAATTCTGTTGGGGATATGCACAATCATAGTCAGCACAAGGTGTGTGTGAGTGTGCTTCTTTCGCCGGCAATTTATGTGGTAGAATGGCACACTCGCGACATCCACGTGTGATTTTAATGGGTTTTTCATACTTGCACAGCTACTCATGCAATCCTGCAACTTGTGGTGTCATAATTTCTTGCCCACAGCCAGAAATTGCATGAGAGTTCATCCCAGAGGAGTGCTGAGCAGAGAAAAAAATGTCTTTTACTCCTAATTAGTGTGAGCATGTGAAAATTAGCATTCTCAGCATCGCATTAGCACACTCATTTCTATATTTCACAAGAAGTTGCACAAGAAAAGTCTCCACCACTATCAATTGCCACTCTAAGCAATTAAGGGGGGAGAAAAGGAAAAAAGCAGTGAGCATGACTTCTTTTTTCTTGTAGGGCTGTTATATGATATAAAAAGTTGAATCTTGTTTAACGTACCTTTGTAACTTCCTCGCTTTTGACGTTGAGTCACAGTCAGGTGAATGTTTATCAGCACTTGAGAGCGAGACGCGAGACAACTTAAGCAAAACCGCTTTAGAAGCTGGGATTTTATAAACCACAGCCGCTGAAGAGCTGTAACTGTACTTGAGTTCAACTTCAACCGTGAAACTGTATTACATAATCCACAACTATGCTGGAAACATATCTTTTGTCACTGTCTGTAGATAAAGTTGCCACGACACGGGAAAAATCGTGAAAGTTTCACCTCCTCAAAAATTCTCCATTCACCTTATTTCATCATATTTATTTAGGCTGCTTTTCCCGCACTCACACTGTGTCTTCCTCACAATCAAAGGCCAAAAAACCATAAAGGCAAACACCCCCAAAATCTTCCCCCTCAGCATTCGTTTTCTAGGGTCGGCGAGTTCATTTTCATCTCCTCCTTTTTGCCGCAATCCAAGGGAGAGAGAGAGAAAGAGAGAAATGGGAAAGAATAGGGAAAATCTGGTGGAAAGCGCGCGATACACAGGCAGACGGAAGATATTTCGCATCACTTTCGACCAGTGAAAAGGCAGAAGAAAACTGAGGGGGGACAATTAAATTAATTTCACGGGTTGTTTTAATCACGATTTTCATAATCATTGACCATCACGCCGTGTGTACTCAAAGGGCGCCACAGCAAGGAAGGCAGCGTGAAATTTCATTAAGCGAAATGCTTCTCATTTCTCGACCATGAAACAACGCCCCGAATCATAATACAATTCTATGGGTATTGTGCAAATTTAGCTAATAATTCTTTTCATCATTCATTCCATCAACCCTGGGTGATTCGCAAAATGTCTGAAAATTAGCATTCTCAAAGGAGGTTTTGGGCTTCACTCGGACGCAGAAGAGATGGGTGAAAAAGAAGGAAACACTTTCACCCTTGAGTGTTTGAGCGCCCAAGGAAACTTGATGGCGCCTCGAAGGCAGTGTGACAAAAAGCATCCCATAAATAATTCACACATAAGAGAGATGCGAAAGCAGAGACAGAATCCAGGCATTGTAGAATCAAGTTGCACACGGCTCTGATTTCGCAGGATTTTTATCCATCTTGCCTCTGCTTAGTCATTTCTCGAGCTCGTTTGCAAGCGGATTTCCAGAGAGAATTTGAGAAAAGGTGGGAAATTGTGTTAAAAGGGTGAAACAGTGAGTTTATTGTATTATTTCGTCCTGTTTCACGAGTTGTTTAAGTAGTTTTTAGGGGATTTAGGGGTCGTTGCAACGTTACAGATTTCAGATATCGATTCGTAAGAGATACGAAAATTGACATACATTTTACTTTAGCTCCTGAAATTCAAACAGTTTTAACTCCAGTTCTATTGCATCGGTGCAAATATATGACTTATCGAAAGACAAACAGACTCGCAAAATAACAAATGACGCCCCCTTCTTTTTGTCACGTTTCGTGATGTTAAGCCTCCGTGAGTCAAATTTAGTTGATTTTGCGAGATTTAATTTTTTGCGCGAACGCAGATATTAGTTGTGATGTAAGTCCCAGCTAGATAAAATACTGAATTCTCAAGATAAGATAGAAAAGATATCTTCCTGGAGGTGCGCTATAAAAGCCCGCGACAAGGAGTGGTCAGTTGTACAGAGTTTTGTGATCACTTTGGAAAGATGAAAGTGTTTTTTGCTGTTCTGGCTCTCGTGAGCACCGCTTTGGCTGCTCCAGGTTAGTGTTGTCCTGGCCTCAAGAGGATTCCTGGACGTGGGTATTGAGGGTGTGTTTGTCTTGGCAGCTGACGTGAGCACGCCCAAGTTGGCCTTCGTGAATGAAAGGATCACCAATGGGCAGGATGCCGCTTTCGGCGAATTCCCTTACATCTGCTCCATGCACTGGGTGCTGATCGCCTCTGAGATCCACGTGTGCGGCGCCTCCATCATCAATCCCAACTGGATCCTCACGGCCGCTCACTGTTTCACGGAGATCGCCAACATTGGTGTCTTGGACGCCGTGTGTGGCATCACGGATCTCACGATCAACGACACGCAGCAGCGCAACACAATCACCGAGCACATCATCCATCCCGACTATCCAGGTGGCGTGGCGCCCAATGACATTGCCGTAGGCCGCCTGGCCGGCATCCTCACGTTCAATGCCAATATTCAGCCTATCAACCTGCCCACCCAGGGACAGGAGCCCATCCTCGACATCGCCGTGCTCGCCGGCTGGGGTTCCACGTCCACCACCAACGTGCCCAACATGCCCAACCGCCTGCAACGCGCCATCAAGACCGTGCGCACCTTCCAGCAGTGCTGCGATCTGCTCAACTCCGTCATCGACGGTGCCTGCAACATCCTCGATACCACCAACGTGTGCGCCGGCGACGGCCCCATCAGCGCCTGCAGCGGCGACTCCGGCGGTCCGCTGTCGCAGCTGGTCGGCGGCACCTGGACACAGATCGGCGTGGTGAGTTGGGGAATCACGCCCTGCGGCACCACTGTCGCGCCCTCCGTCTTCGTCATGGTATCCTCCTTCAGGAACTGGATCGACGCCAACATCCAATAAGCTATCACACTCTTTTGACCAAATAAAAGCATTTATACTTAAGAAGCGCGCTATCTTCAACCCCTTGCGATCAAAGCTGGAAAGACGCAGAGGGCTTAAATATGATCAACTGAAGACCGATTGTAAGCGGTGTTTGTGTTCCTCCTCAAGGTCAAATTGAAGGCTGATACATAAATGCATACAAAAAAAGCATTAAAGCTTTCAATTGTGTTTTTATCATGAGACTTAAGCTTTCATTCATAATTTCCTCTATAAAATGTTTGATTATTCTTTTTCAATTCCACAATAATTTACCGTCGAATAGCAATTTCACAGATCTTCCTTTATTTTTTATTAGATTAAACTTAGATTTTGAATATCCTGTCGAGCTAGTTGAATATTCTTGCATTATAAGATTTTCCTTTTTTTGGCTTATAAAAGTATTTGATAGTGAGGAGTGTGAGGATCACATTCGTCATTTTTGTGCAAACATGACATTGTGAATGTTGAAACTGTGATTATATTTCTGTTTACATTAATGTCTCTCTCTTTCGCTCACTTGATATTCCATTTTCCCTTCAATCTGCAAGCAAGAGTGGAGTTTTCGTGTATGACAACATGTGTAATTATTTACATTCATTACCCTTCCGCAATTGCTTGTCATCTCCGTTGTAATAATTACAGTCTATTTATTCACATTATGGCGCATTCTTGTCATCCTGCAGGCTGTCAAGTCACTATCTCTGGTAGTTCAACGTTCATGGGGAGAAAATCACTTTGTACATAGCAAAGTGCTTTCAGCGACGCGCTCGATGAAAAATATGGTGACTTACGATGGGATCTAGGGGATGCTGGATGAGAGTGTATATTTTTCTTATCGTGCACTTCTTGTCGCCCGTTCACGTTTGATAATTGTCGGCGGGAATTGAGTGTGAATGGGGGGGAAATCACTCCATACTGCTGATGGACGTGAAAAGCTGGCAGCACACTAAATGGCGGGAAAATTGGAATTGAAGTTTACTCAGTCCTTTCACTCTTTGTCTCCTTGCAGTGAAAGACCTCAAGGGGACACATTGGAGGAAGAAGAAGTGAGAAAAAAGCATTCAGTGGATTGATTTTTGCTATCCACAATTGAGGTTTGCCGATGAACAAGGCGAATGACCAGTGGACGCCTGAGATGGATGTATGTGTGTTGGGGATTGTATAATAAATGGGATTTGAGATGATAGTCGGGGATGCGCTTGAGTGCATGAAAATGGATCTTTTGTCTGGTTGAATGCATAGAGCAGATGATATGGTGTGGTTGGTCAGGATTGAGCGGTGAGATTTCATATGTATATGATATTCCGGATGCAATGCAATTCTGATGCGTTTCAAATATATCTCGATTGTCTATCTGACATGGAGTGGGGAATTTATGGAATTTTACACATTCATGAGGTTCCGAAAATATCTCGGTGGAATCTTGGCTCCTCTGGAATCCACACACTGCAGTCACAATTCATGAGTAGGATTCATAGAATTAAGTGACTAAAGTTGAAATTTACTTTTCGCAGTGATATATCCTTAAACTGTTGGCAATATTGCACAAGTGCACAAGTTGCCGGGACTCCAGTGCAATTTCCTGTCTTCTTTTCCACAGGATGTCACTCGGGAAAGCCACACGAAGTGTGAGTGGGACAGAGTGTGTGTGTCCTGAGAAGTGAATTCACGAGCGATAAGAGACATTAAACGGAATAAACATTTCTCCTGTCGGGAATTTTATTAGTAAATTTCACGTGAAGACACACGATAGACAAGATGTGGGTGGGAAAAGTGGAAAAGTAAATTGAGAAAGTTCTCAAGAGGAAATCTCTCAGGATACCTGGGAAAATTCTTATCTCCCATTGCCTTTTATCCTATATATTTCACCTATGTGTGTGCCTGAATCCTCGAATTTGTAGTGAGTTTTCATGTTTCCAACATCCTTTACCGTCATTGGAAAGACGAACCCTTTCGCATTTGGAGTTGTGCCGCTCAAAAACACACACACACACACACACTCAAGGGTTGAGTGTTCTTTAAACAAGGAAAATGTTCTCCGTTTCCAATTAAATTTATTGTGCAAAGAGTTTATTTACTCAATTAAATGTCCAAAAGTTAGGTACTTGAGTGTGCTCTTCTTCATATTTACTTGTTTATTTATTACGCAAGATTTTCCCTGTCCACACCCCTGAAATATATGTGTATATTGTACATTTTGGGGTCCTGTTTGCCATCCATCCATTCTTCCCTGCGCGCTTGAGTTTGTTGGTGGATGATAAACAATTATCAACCGTGAAATATTTCTTTTCACCACCCACAGGATAATTGATTGTGCCTGGCTAGAGTGATTTTTCTTCTTGTGCGGTGGCCCGAGATGGATGGTTTCCGGTCCAGTGGGCGGGAGGGGAGGATGTTTAAAATGCTGAAGCACTTTCTAAATGGAAAATGATTTGCGAGATATTTTCCTGTGAAAATGAGCTGTGCGTATAAATGGATTATACTGATTTTGGCGCGGTTGAAATTGTGTGAGAAGTCGAAACAAGAACTGAACTCTCACACCCTTTTGCATCACTTTCTCTGCTGACAGGGATTTTTGAGGCAAAATGATATTTTCCTCCATCAACGAGAATATGTGTCAAAAATCGGTCTATCGATATTCCACCCTTCAACCCCATATAATTCCTGCAATCATCATCTATTTATGATGTAGTTTTTCACACCCACTTTCATCACTTTAGCCATCTTTTGCACTTTTATTCCACACCTTTTTCTTGCCTCTTCGCCTCCATGGCTGATGTCTCTGGATGGGTGGCGCCCCAGAACGATAATAGACACCTTATTTTCCTGCTTCATGCTGGAAGATGAGATGGGTTTGGGGCAAGGGGCAGATAATGTGTCTCGAATCTGTACACCACTTCTTAACACTTGCAGCAATTGAATGTACACAAATTTCTTAAGTTACAATAAATCTCTTAAATCTACAAACCGATATTTCTATAAGAATCCACTCAAAAACGCTTTTGGGGCGTTTTTTTTCCGACCATAACCTCAAAATATCACTAACAGATCTTTAAAATTATCTAGAAAGGTTTCTATATCAGCATTTTCCAATTTAAAATGAGTTTTTTAAGGTTATGTTCGATTTTAGCACAATTTGCAGTGTTTTTTGGCGTCAAAAGCTTAGAATTGCTATGTTTATTATGACTGGCGACTTTAGCATAAGAATTAATGTGCTAGAATGCGAATTATTCATTACATAATGTAGACAATGATAATTTTGTTTGTTTCTATGTAAAAATCAAAAGAAATCCAAAGAATCGTGATAATCTGGCAGTAATAAAAGCATTCAGGAAAAGAATAGTGCAAGTTTTTTGAACACTTTTACTTCCTATGATACTTTCGCTGAGCTGTACACCACTTCTGATTGTATTATCTCCCCCTTGGTTTGGGGAGATGTTCAGAGAATGAAGAAGATGACACATTAGAGGGATGAAGCACGCGGGGAGAGATGTATGTCGTGCGGTTGTGTTCCCGAAGAGTGTAGTACTACCGAACAGCATAGTATTTCTGTGACACAATTTGGGGCTTTGCCCTCCGAATGTTGTAACACAGTGAAGTGTGGCATTTTTTGCACAACTGTGCTTTTTCATCCTGGAGAAATGCGCAGTAGAAGTGAGAAGCATATTATATGCAATAAGCCATTAGTTTTTATATCTAGCCAAAATAGGAGAGAGAAAGAAGAGTGCTTCATATGATATTCTTCACCCCACAATTGCTTCCCTGTTCGCTTCAGTTCACATTATCAGGTTCTTTTGTGGCGCCAGAGAAGTGATGCTTGACTGTGTTTTTGGTACTTTTCCTTGTGAGATGGAATATTTGATTTCTCAGTTCACACAGACAGCAAAACGTGCAAAACACATTATAATCGATGTGTTTGCCAGGTCAAAAAGGACGAGAAATTACGATGTGTAAAGTGTTGGTTTTACAGAAAGTGCTACTAATCTCATTATGTGCTTGAAGAAACTTCTCTTTTCATCGAATGAAAAGTTTATTTATTCTCTAATATCACTTTAATTAACTGTTTCTTTTGGGTATTTTCGCAATTCCTTGGAATTTTGCGATTGGTCAGCAAATGGAAATTGTGGCATTTTACCGCATCTCAACGTTTAACACTTCTTATGATTTTTGATGTTGTAAATTACAGCGATTTACATAAAGCGAGTTCCAAAGAACGTTGGAATATTTGTTCAATTCAATTCATTTGTTAGTTCATGGCAAGTCAGATGATGATTTTTGACTCTCCCTTGGCCACAAAATCATTTATATTTCTTAATTTTCCAATTCCACATTTTCTTCGTGTTCCACCACGAAGTGGTATAAAGTTTGTCAATATTTTCACATTAATATAGATGAACACACATTCACACGAGGGTGAGTTTAAGAAGCCATAAGCTGTTGTAAAATTAATGTGGAAAATTTGGTAAATTTCCCATTAGGTTCTTCTTCGTGTCCCCAGAGACAGAAATAGAGTGTCTCCGAGTTCGAAATTCCAGTGAGTAATAAAATATCCTCACACCAAACCAAATGTGTATTACATATAGTGGAAATTAAGTATATAGAATTTGTGCTTGATTCTCTGAAAGTTCATAGCTTCTGTCCGTGGCCTTTGTCTTATGCGGCTTGGATATTGTGAAGAATTGTGGACGGAGGAAATTTGTATATTTTCCTTCACGATTGATTTATCTTTCACGTCTGTCATGAATAAATTTCGCCCCTCCCTCGATTTTTGGGGGCAACATTCAATATCGTGAAGTCAGTCAAATGTGAGAGACATATCTCAAAATATGGCGCTCTTTCGCTCAGTGATGTTACAAATGATCTCATAGAGTGGATGAGAACACGTGGAAAATGAAATTCTGCCTCATTCGCTGAGTATGGCAATTTATCCAATAACAGGAAGATTGAGATCTCTTCGGAAAAATTTTCAATTTGCATTT